TTTAAATCTTCTGAATGTGCAGAATAGCCCCTGGACCGTCAAAGGACATACTTGGACAAAATTCTCTTTAACTAAGCAGAACTTACTTCAGTTCCTTCGGATATTATTTATCATCGTTGCCTCTAATGGTTTCATTGTTTTTCATACAAGTCCTAACTTTACAGCAAGGGGCAACCTGATATCACAAAGGTCAAATCTCCTCGAAGAGGCGCATAACATCCTCGAGACTTGAGTACAGGACCACTCGTTTGTTTCCGGCACCACAAGCTGAAACATCCCTTCCTACATAATTGCACGAGGCAGAGGCTTTAATGATAGATAAGTTATCGTAGACTTCTATTATAGATAAGTCCTTGTCATGCATCATTTCTTCCGAACTTATTCAGTTTGAGGATAACAAACTTATATCTCAAGCATCATTATGCATAAATACGCACAACATGCCTCCCTGAGCCTATTATTGCTACAGAATCATAATAGTAGCGTATCGATCGTATGTTCCCTAATTATGTTTTCTTACATACTTATATGAATCAATACCTCTTTGCCATCACAGCAGACATGAAGGTTTTTGAAAAGTATTTCAATAATATTACAAATTTAATTGCATGCACAGCTCACCGATTTCGGGGACTACTTGCCCTATTTTTATATCAAAACGTGACATTCACATGCTTACTTCATTTTAAGCCGTGCACAATTCTTATATGCTCACCAAGTGTCTAACCACTTTATTATTAGAACACTTAACGTTTTGTCCAAAGTGAACAGCCATACAAGCATAGGCACATACTTGATTTTTCGAGGGACCGAGGGCACATACAGTCATGATCACACAGATCGGCCCCATGACAAGAGTGCAGAGAATCTCCTCGAAGGATTTAAAAAGAGGTTTTATAATAAGACAATTCGAGAAGCATCCTTCTCGAACAACGAAGCCACCCATTCCAAGGGACAATGACCTACTCGAAATGGAAGATAAGTGTTATTATCTCCTTGGCATTTACATGCTCTCTGGAATCATTCTATTGACTAAGATGGACTCATAAATCAAGGGTCGAGTTTTACTGGAATCATTCTATTGACTGTAACTTCAATATGCATGTATGACTGATTTAATGTCTCAAATCACATAAATCAAGTGTTTGCTAAGACTTTGGAATTAGGGAATCGACTGAATTAATCATTAACCTATTCCATACATGCAATGTGTGAATTTGCCATTTTTACATCTATGATTGGCTATCACCTAGCATTCACACACATCGATTCAATAGATAAAGACACATAGTCATGACATCTATGCTTTCTCGAGTGGAGTTTAATTGCTATTTACGACCTAGATCTTGATCATAGCACATCATTTTGTTTGCCTTCATACTTCTCGAAAAGCTGTTAATCCATGATCTTGAGAATACTAATATAAGGCCTTCTGTCATAAAGGCATACTCAATTTTTGGGAGAACTTCTACTTATTTTTGCAAAACTTGCAAAAGCGCGAGACAAAGATAGCTCCTCTGTGACACAAGCGTGTAATCAGGTCACAGCAACCGTGAACAAATGAAGCACCAATACACGGTGCATGTCAAGAACGAGCTTCGTCGACAACAATAAGGAGTTTCTTGACAAATGAGTATCGCCGCTCTAACTTGCGTATACCCCTAAAAGAGTGCCAACAGATAAGTGATACAATCTCCTTATGATTGCTTCAATATATGAACATTTGCATCATAACATGAATGTTACGATAGTTTGTAAGCATGGAATAATTGTTCTTGCACTCCTATTATGAAACATTAAACATATGAGTTTCTTGGGCCTCTTCAGTGTCCTCGAACTTTCGCATGCAAACCTCTTGCACGAAAAGCCTTCCTCGGATGCATGATTTATTTACCAGTTACTTGTGTCATCACATATTAGTCATGAAGCATGATGCTACAACTGTCATATATAAATGACTTTGTTTACTCTCCACGCATAAATGTTTCGACCAATCTTAATGTCAATAGCCAACTCATGTTCATTTTCTTTCTTTTGAAAGGGGTTATATACCCCTCTCGTACTTATAGTTGTCAGTAATATGCTCTAAAGGCCATAGTGCAGGATGGTTTCATTTCCTTGAGCCATGAGTCACAATGGGTCATTGTATCTACTCTACCAAATAACTAACTTGCAGTTGCTGTCTCGAGGCTGCAATGGCTTTCACATTTGATGGTCCAGTTCCATGTCAAATCGCTATGCTCTTTAGGGGTCTGTGGTACGTACAAATCCGTGGAGAAGCGTTGCACGATCTCCGCAACATTTTTTCATGGCTTTCGTGAGTTAACCAAACCATGGCTTCAATAGCCTTGCTCATATCTTGGTGAGATCTTTCCACTTCTAACAGTTATGTCTCAAAATGGCTATTTTTGAAGGGGTAGAGTCCCTCAATAATATATTGTATTCCACGCCATTCTCATGCTATGATAATTTACTACTCACTAATAAATCTACAAGTGCATGAGTAAGTGTTTTGTCAGGATCATGGAACCATGTTGGTTCATCATGGTGCCTGCGCTCTAGAGGCATCACCATCAGAATGTTGTATCCTCGACAAATATCATGAAAGGTGACACGAATCCTTCTTCTGGACCAAGGTAAGCTCAAACGAGCCTTTGGGTATGCATCCTTGATCAAAGAGAACAACATATTACACTTGAGACGCTTCTAAGGTTCGGGAGCCCTTTTATATGCTTATTTTCATAAACATGTCATTATTATACTTGCAATACATGTCTCGAACTAAGTTACAGGATAAATATACCCCGAGAACTCTGGGACAAAATAAGCCGAGATACATAACTCTTGCAGCTGATCCCTCGAGGATAGCAGCAACGTCAAAATCGCTCTGGCCTTAGGGCATTTATGCTTTCAACTCGAGATACAAACTACGGTCTAATGCACGTAGTGGTAGCCTACTCGAGTACTCATGGGAGCTGGTGTATCACATGTACCTTGTTACACCTAGTTAAACATCACTAGCCATTTAAACGGACATACTCTTTAGGACCGTTCTCGAGACGGACATCCTCTTCAGGACCGTCCTCGAAAGTTTCGTGTATTTAACATTTGGACATTCATTGGGTCATGCTACCCTTAACTGTTACGACTAATAGTATATACTCGAGAAGCTCGTACCCAGCTTCCTCGCCGATATCCTCTTCAGGATCGTGCTTGAACAGACATTCTCTTCAGAATCGTCTATGAAACGGTATCTTCTTTAGGATTGCCTATAAAAGAGCCGTGTACTTCATATTCGGCCATTATAAGCGCTTTACAAATAACTCATAAGCCGTGTACTCGATATCCGGAATTGAGAAAGGCCTAGATTGCCATGTTCATGAACAAGGGTGGACTATCCCTCAAACCTAAACACACGTGTTTTATACCTCCATGAGAACTAGACTTGTTCTCGAGTATACTTTCTTGGATTGATCTATTATATCATCCAATGAATCATAAAGCAAATGACTTTACTCTCGATGTTCTCGGGTTCACTTTGTGCCTCGTCAATACAGGCATATTTCCTCTATTATGGTGGTTATCATTCATCTCCTTCTGATAGACGCCACTTTATTGCCTTACCCCTACAGGTATGAGGGCTTCTTGAGAAGGCATCGCCTTGAACTGAGCAGCGAAAATTACACTCTCATACAATTTTTATCTAAAAAGTCTCGGTCTGCCAAATGTCACCCCAAGATTTGGGAGCTCCGAGATGGGTAATGGTTCCGGGGTTATCTATAACGAGGAACGTTTATTTATAGGAGAGTGTAAGATGTCTGGAAGGTGTGTAAGGTGTCTGGATTCTGGAATGTGTGTAAGGTGTTTGGGAGGTTGTGTTTTTTTTTTTTTTTTTGATGATCTTGGATCTACGGATCTCTTCCTATTACTATTCTCGACGGTCTTCACTTAATGCTCGGAATGGGACAATGTTTCTTCTCGTACTAATGAGTACAATCTCCTCGATTCTTACTCGCATTTCGAGCAACGATATTATACGTCTATTCGGGTTCGGCACATCAACCTGATTTATACTTCTCAAACCCGGACTAAGGATTTTATGCTTTATTTCTCAGGACATGAGAAATGGTAAGCAGGTCGGTTGGACGGATATAAATAAGCTTAAATGCTTGTGTACCTTCAGATGGTTACAATTCTTGAGTTTTGTTTGGAGTTCTACTCGAGAGAATCTTTTCGAGTCTCACTATCCCTACATTGATGTGATCACATGCGGTATCTTCTATGGTGTCTTCTACACTCTTATGTCCCTCCTCGACAATCGAGGATTCTTATGGTGACAGTCTCTTCTCTCTAATGTTGTATCACACTCGAGCTGGTCTTCTCGAGTCTTCAAATTTCTTAACAGGAGGTCATATAGGGCAAGTTCTCGACGTGCAATTCAACCCAGACAATATTCCTTCTCAAACTTATGTCATCGACATCGAGTATGTTCGTGCTTCTCGATCCACTACTCTGTGGACGTCCTCGAAGGTTTGGGTCTATTACCTCTCGATCAGAAGCATATGTCATAGTTCTCTAGTAGACTCCTCACCTCGACAGTTGATATATCTTAGTCGCTGCTAATTACACAAATTCTGAGACTAGTAGGAATCTCCACTACGTTTACTTCTCGATTATCTCAACAAATAGGCCATCTGCTTTGATATTTCCATGGAGCATATCGTAAGAACTTCTCGATTGAAGTCTGAGTCAATTGCAATCTTCAAACAGATTCTTCGTTCTGGCAGTCGTTGTACCTTCAAAAGTTATTGATAACGCATCTCTATATTTAGTGTAATGGGAATCTCCATTACACTTCTTTATTACCTTGTCAAGCAACAGGGCATCTGTCTTAGTATCTCTCTGGGGCAGAATATTAAGATCATCGCATATCGACTTCTCCCTCGAAAGTTCAATCACCGAAGCCCTTTTTTACAGGTTTTAGGGTTTTGATTAACGCCATGGCTGCCAGTTCAATCACCTGGAGACATTGGTACGAATCTATGCATCGTCAGGAATATTGCACATCAGCGAAGAGGATGACACAGATAACCAATCTGTTCTGTAAGTCGTACTCGTCTCTACTAATGAAAAATTGAAAAAATTTCAAAGTCTCCTTGAGGTAGCTGCTCACCTTTTTTTTTTTTTGTAAATCTGCTTTCAGCAGTTTGCCTTACGAATTAATGGAGGACCATGATCAGCAACATCATCATCTCATGCCAGGTGTAATGATACCTGAAAAGGTACTGTAACTACTGTAGATGTTAAAACACTTCATAATCTCTCTAGGGGAAGAAAAAACTTCAATCCCCGAAGTGGTGAAGTTTAGTACTCTTATGTAACTTGACATACGTTTTACAAACAGTAAATCATGTCGCATCGACCGAACTCTGGCATGAATCCAGAGGTGGCCGTACTCGTAGACCTCCGATGCGGCAGAACCAAGAAGCGGGCACTGATTATGCTAGAGCTGGATGGGGAAGGGGGACAGGTAATTACTTACTTACTGCTGAGACTTCAAGAAGCAATTTCTCTTCAGCAAACAACTACCCAGATCCTGGTAGGGATTTCAACATGAGCTTTGACACACAATGCAGTATTTCTGGATCTGGTCATGGCGGGAATAATGACCTATGGAGGAGCAAAAGTAACCTGAGGGGAGATGTTATTTACAAAGATGCTGGAGTTGGATGGGGCAGGGGAAGAGGCAGAGGCAATTATAGTAGTACCAATCTTCCGGCAGGCCAATTGTATGGTTACAACTCCTATGACATGGGCAGCACGAGCTCGGATGGATCATGGCGCAAAGGTGCTGTAATTGATTCAGGTTCGTCATCAGGCTCACGAGCCTATTGTAATTTGGGTAGAACAAATACAGCTTGGACACAGAATTGTCCGGTTTCATGGAGCTTTGATGGGCAACAACGGAGCAATGGTAGAGACCAACATGGTTTTAAAACCAACAGTTCAAGCTATGATTGGAGAAACATACAACAGTAAGTTGGAAGATGTCAATCATAATTTTGACCATTTTGGCAGGATGCATCTTTTTGCGAAGTTTAGGTGTTGCGAGTTTTGTGTAAATTGTGTGGGGATATTTTTTCAAGTACTGTACAGTAAAATTCAGTTTGCAACTTGTTAAGTGTGAGTTACGGATTTTTGATCTTTCCATTTAGGTAAAGTAAGATCTGCCGAGATAAATCTTTTTCTGGTTTAATATATTGAGCAAAATCAGTGTGTTGAATAATTCAAATTAACAATCAATAAACTGCTTAATAAGAAGGGATCTGTCTCCACCCGCTCTTGTGAAACATGAAAATATTAAACCGCACTCTTGTGAATAGAATAATGGCTTTGGGGGTATAATAGAAGCCGCTGTCTTTTGTAAGAATATCCCTAAATGATATGCACATTTAAGTTTCACTTCCTAGAGCCCTTGAAATGACAAAAGCCGGGATGCTGATAATGTGCGAATTTGAAAGACTTAGCAGAAACAGAATGTAGCACTAAACCAATACGAAATGAGCATTGTCGCAGATTCCAAGTTCGGGTTGACACAACATTCATCATTCAGTTGGTAGCGAAACTAGAATTTGGAGGGCTGATGAGTACTGTGGACAACAGTTTGAGAAACTGTCTGAAATTCAAGTGTAAGAACTCACTCCTTTCAAGTTTCAGGTACTAAACAATTTTAGGCTCACTAACAGAAATTCCACATATATAGCTAAACTTCAATCCTCTCCAATGCCGAGATGCGCACAAAATCAAAGAGCAACCTCCTCAGGGGTGCTTGCAACTTCACAACACAAGCTGCTGAAGAAGTTGTGGCATTGGCACCAGGGTGAACAATGTTTCAAATGTATCAAGCAAAGAAAATATTCTGCAAATAACTCATGAAGGTTGCTCTCATCAAAGATGAATGCTAAATTATAAGAGAAAAATGGTAAACTACTTCACCTTTATGTAACTTAACTGCAAGGTTGGATCTACATCAAAACATTGAAGCATAAATGTCTTAGCCGACTGAACTGTCTCGTGCATTCTTGTATGCCAAGATCTCCCTCTATTCATACAGTTCCTAACTTGAGAGATTTTGATCAAAATGTTACCATTACATGTATGTAAAGTAACTGAAATACAAATAAGATCAAGCTGCAGATAACATTGCTTCCTTATACTAGTTTTCGCAAGAGTTGGATTAGAATAACTACTCTCAATAGCATATTACACACTGTAGCAGTTGCTTATGGACAGCATAACTCACATAAGGTAAATGCTACTTTCAAAAAACAATCTGAACCCCTTCATTACTGTTTTGTCAATCTTTCTATTAGTCACTCCTGCACAATTTCCACATACTTGAACTTCAGTTTTCTGCAAGGTGTACAAAACAAAATCAAAAGATATCTACTCAAGCTTCTTTCACGTCTACACAACATGCTGCTGAAGCTTTTTTTTTTGGGGGAGGGGGGGCATGGTGTCTCGATGTCAATATCTAGCGTGTCTGATGTCAAGTAGACCTTTTCCAGTAGCTTTTGATGATCACAATTTTGTTTCACTTTTTCTTTTATATATATAATAAAGGTGACAGTTCAAGGTTTAATGCCTTACTGAAGTCTGAAAATGCAGAAGCACATGGACTTAAAGCTTTCACTTTCATAGTTTTCGCGAAATCAAAGAGTAAAAATGGACATGATCAACATATATCATCATACTAATGCAGTTCTTTTCCACATAAAGTGACATATCAGACAAATAAAGAGAGGCAAACAGTTGCGTTGAGAACTCATCAATCGCCATTGTGATTTCTTCCAATTCCAGCTGAAAGCAGAAACATTAATTGGATGATTGAATAGTGACCTTCAAATCTGAATTTCCCCAGTTCATCTGTTCTTCCTCAATCTGTCTCACCAAATTTACTACATTGTCATAACAGTTAAAGACCTCAATTGTTTCAAGTGTCGGGTGGGACTCTAGACAAGATGGCATTTCTTTCAGATGTCCACAACGTACCAATACCAACTTCTGAAGACATGCAAATTGATCATTGGAAGCTCTCTAGCTGACAAGGTCCCAACAAAACAATGTCAAGATTCTGAGTTTTAAGAATTCCCCCTCATTTACTTCCCATGTTTCTGTTTCAAAGGATACTTGAAGTAATTTGAGGACATCAAGGTTTGGCAATTTAGCAGTGGCTGAAAAATTCTTCCACGACAAATAAAATTCTGATAATGTCAATTTCTTCAATGTAGCAGGCAAACTGAGCTCAAACTTCCAGGATGAAGGTACACGAATCTCTCGTAATACATGCAGTGATTCAAGTTGACTCAAAAAGTCAGGAAATACAATCCTGTCAAGATTTTCTAAGTCATCTTTATGTTCGAAAAGTGGGCATTTCCAATTACGAATGTTTGGGAACTTTCTCATCAGTCTTTCCATACTGCTCCAGTGAGGAATAATTGCACCAGATAACCTAGTTAGCTCATGTAAAGCAGATGTGCTATGAAGACATTCTGTGGGTAGGCTACCCCCGTCAAAACTACCGTAAGTTCTTATGTAAAGATACTTTAATTTTTGCAGACTCCAGAGATTAGCTAGGAATGAAACAATGTCAGCACATGGATCAATAATAAGGGTCTCCAAATTTGAGAGCTTAGCTATTGATGATGGGATCTGCCTGAACTTTCCTCGAATCGCCAAGAAGGCTAACTGAAGAATCAGTTCTATTTCTCTTGGAAACTCATTACGCGAACGAATTTGTTCTAGATCCAACACTCTGAGAAGTTTGAAGATGTGAATCACGAACGAGACATCAACCAACTGTGTTCCTTTGTGGAGCCTCACTGTGTCATGAGATGAGTTGAAAAGTAGAGAACGTGCACGAGGACAGAATAATTTCGACTCTTTGAAATCCCTTGTCACAGAGTTAATGCATAACCTTCTTGAGTTGTGAGGCTCATCAAATGCTAACAGCTCATCTGACCCTTCAGGAAATGAAAAAAGTGTTCCTCTTTCGGTTTCTGCAGACAGAAATCATGAAGCAAGTCATGCATGCAGCATGTTTTCACTCCACCATCCCATCTTTGTTTGGAAACCATAACTAAGCTTCTGCCAACTAAATCCTTCAAGTAATCCTCGGCAACAGCTTCTGCACTCTTTGTTACAGCTTTCCTGACAAATCCTTCAGCCGTCCACAAATGAAGCATCTTTTTCACAGAAATCTCTTGGTCTTCTGGGAATGCCCCAAAATAGAGAAGACACGGCTTTAAGTCATCTGGTAAATGGTTGTAACTTAGCTCCAGCGTCTTCATGCAATGTTTAGTAATTGATGCTAAGCTTGAGTTCAAACTGTCCAGAATTTTCATCCAATCCTCTGCCTTTGTGCTTGCAAGAAGTCCAGCCACAATGACGATTGCCAAAGGTGATCCCTTGCAGATTTCAACAATTTGATTTTTGAGATCACTTAATTCAAAAGGCCAACCAGTTCCAGCAAATAGTTTCCTCTCAAGTAACTCCAAACTTGCCTCTTTAGAAAGTTGACTAAGAATAAGAGGTTCTTGGTCGAGCATATACCGAGGAGGAACATCATGATGGCGACTTGTCAAAATAACTCTGCTTTCAACATTATCATCAGGGAATGATCATTCCAAACTACTCCACGCTTGAACATCCCAAATATCATCCAACAAAATGAGATATCTCCTTCTTTTTAATCTACGTCTCAGTTTGTCTGCTAAATCATGTTCATCTATTTCATAATAGGTCATCTTGGGATCAATCTGATTTAAGAGCTCAATCAACACTTTCTTTTTCTCTAGAACTTGCGAAATACTACACCATGCACGAACAGGAAAACGATGCGAAATAGCAGGCGCATTGTAAACTTTAGTAGCTAAAGTGGTCTTACCTACTCCCGGCATACCCACAATGGCAACTATTCGCAACTTCTTTTGGCCCCTCATTAGTCTATCCATAATGAATTTCGCCTCATCAACCAAACCTACAACCTCTTTTGATAATGAGAGAGTTCTTTGTGATGACACCTGAGTATAAGCCCTAGACACTTCCTTATCTTTGATTCCTTGAAACCTTTCATGAGAAGTCTTCATCACATTGTCCTTAATGTTCCCAATGTCTTTCATGATTGAATCAAATGGTATTGAAAAAGAATTTGGAAGATGACCAACCAATAGGTTGTCCATGAGACACTCTATCCTGTATGCTTCCTCTAGTACACCATCCCAGAGAGCTTGGAGTTCTTTGTGCATACTGCGCAACTCCACAATGTCTCCCAAGACAGATCTTAAGAAGACAAGTTCTTCTTGAATAGTTTGAAGACAAATCTTGACAGTCAATTCAGCTTCGCTACTAGTTAACTGCATCAGTTTTTCCAATATAAATTCGACAAATCCCAACTGATTAGTCCTAGGAAAGTTAAATACTGGTACATGTGGATCTTTCTCTCCATGGTCTGCAATGAAACTCTTCAATGTTATTAGTAAATCATCAAGTCCAACCTCTACTTCTTCTATGTGAGTCTAGTAAAGCGAGCAAATTAACACTCCAGCATCACACACCACAGCTCTGATGTCTTTGATCAAGTCCAAGTTGCTTGACTGCTGCTTAAGAAAGGTTCTCAAGGATCTAAGTTGTCGGTATAACTCTTACAGTTTATCATTCATGGAAAACACAGGATCACCAAAATGTAGTTTGAACAGATCCCAAAGACTATATATGGGGGAACCAAGGAAGTTCGCAATTGCAATAAAGGCACTACCAGCAAAATCCATGTGTTGATGAAGGGAAGCAAGTAAATTTCGACAGTAAGCCTCGCATACCTGTTGATCAACAGGGTTGATCTTTTGAACCAAGGTCGAAATGTCAAACTGCATTCTCTTCCACATTTTAGCTACTCTCATGGTGTCTGTGCGTGAAGAACATAAATGTTGCATTGGTAGCAACAGCTTCAGCTCGAGCCGACAAATCTTCCGAGGGTTCATGGACAGAGAAGATCAGACTTTCCAAGAACATCATCTTTTCTTCCAAGCTTCCCATTGCTTCTTCTAAAACTGGAACATAATAACGCCTCGAGCTGAAAGACCAAAAATCTACTAAGGTCTGAGTAGAAGTGCTAATGATTTCCAAGACTTGATGCGCCAGAAGAGAACTTGATCGCTGCATGAGATCCAACAACATTAAGAACCATTCATCCATTTCTACCTCCAAATGCCTGATATTTTGAACTGAACTAGAGAAGCATTTGAACCATTCAGATCAAGACACAGAGGCTAAATTTCCTCTGCGACTCTAAGAACAGTATCTTCAACCTTTAACAGGAAAGATGCCAATTTCCCATCTTTTCCCAACTTCCTGGAACAAAGAACAAACATTTTGAGAATCCTTAACATCATTCTCAGTTTCTTAACTTCAAAACCCTCATCAGGATCATGTCCACGGGCTTTCACCAGCAACTCCAAATCATCTAAGGCAGAATCGATGCGAGCAATTATTGGTGATGAGAAAAAAGCCATCTTTTTATTCTTCTGGAAATTTGCAAGGAAATGTAAACTAAAATGAAGTGAAAGTAATCAAATGAAGATGGTCAATGAACATATTTCCACAAATCACATGAATGACAAATGATGTTGAACTAATACTAAATTAATGATACCTCGTAACCCATCTGTCCTAAAATATATTTGTTTATTTGATTTTTAAAATACAATACATAATCCAATCACTTTAAAAATCCCAATGTCCTCCCTTTCCACTCCCAAAACTTATTAAATTATATGGTTATTCTGTCAAAATATTGTTGATGACAATGACATTCGATACGAATCACTCTCTCAAAATTGATATTTTTTTATAAGGAATTAGTTACTCGTACAAATGTTTTCGTCCTAAAAATAAAAATTTTACATTTGTCACATTTGTTATACTTAAGAATCATTTTTTATGGCTCCGTAGTCCATCAATAAGACTGAATCTTCCTGAATTTAATTAAGCAAACATATCATAAAGTCAGATTGGTATATTTGGGGGCTGCTTTAGGGGGGAAAAAGAATAATAGTACTACAATTTCTAGCAATATTCATTGACATTTATAGTTCCCTTATTTTGTCAACTCTTATTTATCTCCTAGATAAAATGAACTGAGGGGAAACTGAGAAGTCCATGGTTTCCAATTTCAGAAACAGTTCATAAGTCTGACCAATTATATCAAAATACATGAATCCATAATTTCTGAAAATCAAAAGAATTTCTTCATCACTCGTAAGAGGATAAAAACCACCATGCGAATTGCACTTGCGGTGGGCTGGTGGCGCATTGCCAGAGCTAAGATTGCTCATACAAAATTCGTCCGTAATTTAATCTGCCGACCTCTCCTATCCGTTGATTCACCTGATATTTGGAAGATTAATCCCGGCTCAAGCTCTCATTTTTCATCTCACCCTTCTTCAAATTTCTCTGGTAAACTCCCCAGAAACTGATCGATATTTGTAGAATGGAATGAGACCCTTGATTCTGTTCTTGATTATTTGTAGCTTCCTTTGTTTGAATTTGAGATTTTGCCATTACTATGGTGGCCCTTTTCTCAGTTTTCTAGAGTTTTTGAGTGTTTGGATAATATGTAACATGCACAAGGTTGGAGTTTTTCTGGGATAATGGAAAGGGGATCTTTTTCAATGTTCTGTTTATCAATTTTTTGAGCTAAGAACTCATTTGAGAAATTAATAGGAAAGTTATTGTTGAGGACTCACCTGATAAATTCTGTGGATGGGTGGTTTATTGGTAGAGGGAAAGCTTTCTTAGGTTGAATGCAAGTACTGTTGCATTGATAACTGCCACGCTAATTTCATTGTTTGCTTTCCTAGGCAACAGGGGAAAGCTGGAACCTCGGGTAAAACACTATCAACTTGATAAATTATTATGTTATGTTCTATCTGTTCTTAACTTAGCTTGATTTAACTCGGTTTATAACGTATTGTTATTGGTGTTTGCGAACGTAATTGCAGTTTTTACCTGGTGCATTTTGTATTCAGCTCAATATTAAAGAATTTTTATTGAACTATGAGACCTGAATTTGGCTCATACTGGTAGTTATGACGGTTTTCGCTTATGGGTTTATAGTATGTTTTCTTTTGGAGTACACCTTGCCTTAGTTGGGTTAAGATGACTGACAATTTTCACAATTATGACACATCCACAGCATCTAATGAGAAGATTGGTGTTGTACTGGATGGAAAGCTAATTGCTAATGACCTAAAATCTAGAATTGCTGGTGAAGTAAATGAAATGAAGAAAGCCATTGGAAAGACTCCTGGGCTAGGCATTGTCCTTGTAGGAGAAAGAAGGGACTCTCATACTTTCATTCGCACAAAAGTCAAAGCTTGTAATGAAGTCGGTATTGTCTCAGTTGTAGCAGAACTTCCTAACAACAGCAAAGAAGGAGACATTTGTGATGCTGTTTCAAGATTCAATGACAATCCGTCTGTGCATGGGATCATTGTGCAGCTTCCTCTCCCCAAAGTAAGTTCTTGTTGCACATCTTAGGTTTTGGTCTCTAATCTTGAAAATCTGGATATTAGAAATATAAAGCAGTTCTTTGGGGTTGCATTTGGACTGAAAAAAGTCAATTATTTTCATTATCTTGAACAAGATGCCAGTTTTCTTAAGAGGATCTTCATAATTAGAACCATTTTGATTTCCAAAAGAATACAACTACCTTCAAGCCAGTATAGTTAATGAATATTACAATGTAGGTTTTAGCAGTTCAAGTCCGAAACAGTTTATTTCTTATGCTGGGTTACTAATATGTCAGAGAATTGATCAAGAGGGGAAACCAGAAAAAAACTGATGATACAAGAGAAATGATCTTCTTAATGACTCGGAGTTAACATCCTTAGTATCTACGCAGATGTGGCTATAGCTTTAGCAAATATAAGTAACTGGAACTCTTGAAATATCCGATGCTTTGAATATGACTGACACTTTAGATTCTGTAGCACTCTTTTTAGAGTTAATGGTTGTATGGATTTGCCAAAACATGTCTGCATTATGCATCAACATTTGGCTTGCTGTTCCAAACTTTTAATGCAGTCCGTATGGTCTGCAAAATTGAGTTCATCACTTGGTGCAGTAGGCAGAGTTTTGTGATCTTGCATGATTTTCCATTTTAGGAGTAAATAAAAACTTATGTCTCGCTTTGGGTGGAAACAGCACTTGGATGAAGAGAAAATCATGAATGTTGTGAGTGTAGAAAAGGATGTGGATGGATTTCATCCCCTCAATATGGGAAATCTTGCAATAGCAGGAAGGGAGCCACTATTTATCCCCTGTGCCCCTAAGGCTTGTCTCGAGTTGCTACTGAGATATGGTATGGATCTTAGAGGTAAAAAAGCTGCAGTAGTTGGAAGGAGCAAGATAGTTGGGTTGCCCACTTCCTTGCTATTGCAGGTAGCAATTTGTTCTCAGTAGATTCTCCCCGTTAATGTTTTTTTTTTTTTTTTTTTTTGTAATTTAATCTTTCTGGGCAGAGGCACCAAGCAACTGTGAGTCTTGTCCACGCATTCACTGGAAATCCTGAAAAAGTAACCTGTCAAGCTGACATTGTGGTGTCTGATGTCGGAACACCAAATACAATCCGAGGCCACTGGTTGAAACCAGGAGCAGTGGTAATTGATACAGGGACTAGCTCAGTTGAGGTTGATGCTGGTTCTTTCCAATGCTTATTTCTCGTCAGAAATGAACATTGCTCGTTCATTTTTGTTCCTTCCTTTTTCCTAATTCGTTCTTATCAAACCCTTAATCCTCCTGCATTACATTTGATATGGTTATTTATTCTACTTTTAGGATCCTAAACGTTCGAGTGGTTACCGACTAGTTGGAGATGTCTGCTATGACGAAGCGATTAAAAAGGTGGCTGCTATTACTCCTGTACCTGGTGGTGTTGGACCTGTTACCATTGCCATGCTCCTTTCCAATACTCTAGACTCTGCCAAACGGTGTTATGACTTCACCTGAAAACTCATCTCTTCGCTGAGTTACTCCACATGGCTGTATGCATTCACTGGAGTTTTCAACCAGTTCATTCACTACTTGTACAACCGGGGTACCTTTGGCTACAGTCGGTGAATCAAGTCCACCAAAATGAGGAACATCTCTACCTAGATCCACTCAGACCATACGGGTTTGAACTGAACCTCAATTGTTTGATATGCAGAAGGGAACTTCATCATGGGCATTTCTACTTCAGAAAGGCCGGCACTAAACCAGAAAAATGAAGCAGGATGCCAGTAGTTTGCTGCTTGATGGTGGTAGATGCGGAGCGAAGTATGTTACAGCAGTTTCCTTGTGTATATAAACTAGATGGATATTATAGGATTTTATATTTGCTGCTGTGTTCTTTGTGCAGCAAATCAATCTGGGCACAGAATTTATTGCTCATTTGCTCATCATCTATTTTTTAGGGGTAACATTTTTGGTTCATCGATTTAAATGTTGAGTTGTCCGCTTTGTACCTAAAAAATGGACAGACAATATAAATCTTCTGACAATCAGAATGTAATTGATATTGGATTAGGATTCTTGGCTAAATGTCGTTGTCTTCATTTTCTTTTTCTTTTTTTTTTTTTAAATATTTCATCCGTCTCACTTTAATAGTTCACTCAACACCATACAACAAAGTGGACCGAGAGATTCCTATACATTGGAGTCGATCTAATCATAATGGAATGTCGACACCACCCCCCAAATATGAATATTCATTGCCTATAAAAACAATTTGTCCAATAGAAAATAAAACAATCATAAAGTTCATAATTCAACCAGAATCAAATAAAATAACACAAATTGCACCATGTTCAAATTTATCATGGGGTCAAAATTGAAATCTTCAAAATTTATGCATAGCATTTATAGTTTCTAAAAATTTTGGGTTGGTAGATGTAATTCACCCTGCTTCAAATTAATTAATTAATTAATTAATTCCGGATTAACTTATTAACCCACCCAACAAAAAAAAAAGAAGAATTAACTAGAGGCGCGTGGAATAATCGAGAAGGCGTAAAAAGAAACTCGAGAAACATTCCTTCCCGGCTTCCCGCCTCTACTAGATTATGAATAGAACCTCCTAGAAGGCTAAAACCCCCAATTCCCCCTTCCTATATAAATCAGCTTCTTCCCGAATTCTTTCCCATCTCAGAAAACCGAAAACCTAATCGTCTCCGATCGGTCCAAAAAGCTTCCATTCACACCAATCAATCCTCTGTTTCGTATTCGTTATCGAATTCAATCTCAAATTAGTTCAATTTTGATTGATTTCTAGGGTTCAAGATCAGCAATGGCGGAAGTTCAGATGGGTGAAACCGAGACGTTTGCGTTCCAGGCGGAGATCAACCAGCTGTTGAGTTTGATCATCAACACATTCTACAGCAACAAGGAGATTTTCCTCCGGGAATTGATCAGCAACGCCTCCGATGCTCTGGACAAGATCCGGTTCGAGAGCTTAACCGACAAGAGCAAGCTGGACGCCCAGCCGGAGCTCTTCATACGCCTCGTGCCGGACAAGGCCAACAAGACCCTGTCGATCATCGACAGCGGGATCGGGATGACCAAGGCCGATCTGGTCAACAATTTGGGAACGATAGCGAGGTCCGGCACCAAGGAATTCATGGAGGCGCTGCAGGCCGGCGCTGACGTCAGCATGATCGGGCAGTTCGGCGTGGGGTTCTACTCTGCTTATCTCGTCGCCGAGAAGGTCGTCGTGACGACGAAGCACAACGACGACGAGCAGTATGTTTGGGAATCGCAGGCCGGCGGATCGTTCACCGTTACCAGGGATGTTGAAGGTGAGCAACTCGGCCGGGGAACCAAGATTACTCTGTATCTCAAAGACGATCAATTGGAGTATTTGGAGGAGAGGAGGATTAAGGATCTTGTGAAGAAGCATTCGGAATTCATCAGTTATCCGATTTACTTGTGGACTGAGAAGACGACTGAGAAGGAGATCAGTGATGATGAAGAAGATGAGCCCAAGAAAGAGGAGGAAGGAGATGTTGAGGAGATTGATGAGGAAAAGGAGGATAAGAAGGACAAGAAGAAGAAGAAGAAGATTAAGGAAGTCTCTCATGAATGGCAGCAAATCAACAAGCAGAAGCCAATCTGGTTGCGAAAACCCGAAGAAATCACAAAGGAGGAATATGCCTCTTTCTACAAGAGCTTGACTAATGACTGGGAGGATCATCTGGCTGTGAAGCATTTCTCAGTGGAAGGGCAATTGGAGTTCAAAGCTATTCTGTTTGTTCCTAGGAGGGCTCCGTTTGATCTGTTCGACACCAGGAAGAAGCCGAACAACATCAAGCTGTATGTCAGAAGAGTGTTCATCATGGACAACTGTGAGGAACTTATCCCAGAGTACCTCAGTTTTGTCAAGGGCGTTGTTGATTCTGATGATTTGCCACTTAACATCTCTCGTGAGATGTTGCAGCAGAACAAGATTCTGAAGGTGATCAGAAAGAATCTCGTGAAGAAATGCATTGAGATGTTCAATGAGATTGCGGAGAACAAGGAAGATTACAACAAGTTTTATGAAGCTTTCTCCAAGAATCTCAAGTTGGGTATCCACGAGGATAGCCAGAACAGAGCCAAATTGGCAGATTTGCTGCGTTACTACTCGACCAAGAGCGGTGACGAATTGACAAGCTTGAAAGATTATGTGACCAGGATGAAGGAAGGTCAGAAGGATATTTACTACATCACTGGCGAAAGCAAGAAGGCGGTGGAGAATTCTCCATTCTTGGAGCGGCTCAAGAAGAAGGGATATGAAGTGTTGTACATGGTGGATGCCATTGATGAGTATGCTGTCGGGCAATTGAAGGAATATGATGGCAAGAAGCTGGTTTCTGCAACAAAAGAGGGCTTGAAACTTGATGATGATAGTGAGGAAGAGAAGCAGAAAAAGGAGGAGAAGAAGAAGTCTTTTGAGAGCCTTTGCAAGGTGATCAAAGACATTCTAGGGGACAAGGTTGAGAAAGTTGTGGTCTCTGACAGGATTGTGGATTCTCCATGCTGTTTGGTCACCGGAGAGTATGGATGGACAGCAAACATGGAAAGGATCATGAAAGCTCAGGCTCTGAGAGACACCAGCATGAGTGCCTACATGTCTAGCAAGAAAACCATGGAGATCAATCCTGACAATGGCATAATGGAGGAGCTGAGAAAGAGAGCTGAAGCTGACAAGAACGACAAGTCGGTGAAAGATCTCGTGCTGCTGCTATTTGAGACTGCCCTTTTGACATCTGGTTTCAGTTTGGATGATCCCAACACATTTGCAGCAAGGATTCACAGGATGTTGAAGTTAGGTCTAAGCATCGAGGACGGTGAAGGCGGTGAAGATGAGGATATGCCTGCACTGGAGGAAGAAAGCAACGAGGAGAGCAAGATGGAGGAAGTTGATTAAAAGAGGTTTTAGACCTTTCAGGAAATGGTTGCGGGAGCTTTTTGTTTACAAGATCTTGTCTGATTGTTCCTAAGGCTTTTTAATTAAGCGCAAGCATATGAAATGTACTTGTGCTCTAATTTTCCAACGATTGTCTAGTTTCTGGGCGTGTAAATCTAATGTTCCTTCTATCAGACTACTGCTCTCGTTTTTGTAATCTGCTACTATAATACATAACAATTCTTTGTGTCTTGTAATCTGAACTGTAGAGCTCTAAATTTTGTTAGCTTGAGATCATACATCTGCTTATACATTTCTAGATGACGACTGGAATTTCATTATGAACCGATTTTGCTCTTGAGTCTTAAATGCGCCATTGGTCATTTACCTGGTGCTGATAAGGGATGCGCAATAATTATTATATTTGACAACCTAATTTTGTACTTAATGAACAAATGAAGCACTAAGCAATTAGTTAAGACTCTAATTTACCGACCGACCTCAGTTGAACTTGAGCAACACCGATGTACAAAAATTGGGTCGACTTAGGATCATTTTGGAATTAGTCAGGGAAAGATCAATCCTGCATATTTAAATTTAGTAAAAACCCCCTGTAAAAATGTCATCTCTTCTCTCCACATAAGCATCTACCAGCTTGTAAGGCAAAATATGTGAGGATGATGTCCGCTCCAGCTCTCCTAAGACACATCAACGACTCTAGCATGACCCTCTCTTCATCAATCATTTTTAGGGCACCACCAGCCTTAATCATTGAATATTCGCCAGAAACCTAGATTAAGAAAATCAAGAAAGACAAGGGTCTTAGAAGCGTAACAAAGTTAATGATGTTTGATGTAAAATTTGAACTTCTCTCCATGATCTCCTCTCTATTAATGTAAATCTCCATCAATTAGGGGAAAAGATAATCATTTTAATGCATCATCAAGTAATTTAGCCCTATTGTTTAATTACTAACTGCATTTTTCTCCAAGATGATTGGGCACTTCTTTGTATGGAAGGTTGCATCATGCTATTTACAGAAGTTTGCAAGAGTCATAAACAATTTTAACATAAAAACTTCAGGGTTCCTTATTAAAGTACCTGATAAGCAGCAATAGGCAAAGAGGAGTTGTCTCGGAGAAGCCGTATAATGTCCAAGTACGGTAATCCTGGTTTGACCTGCAAAATTGTCATCATTAATACTCAGCAAAGAAATTCCCAGATGCAATCAGATCTATGAAAGCAATACCAACCAGTAAGATGTCAGCTCCTTCAGCCTCGTCTTCACTTGTCTCAATCAGTGCCTCTCTGTAGTTTGCAGGATTCATCTGATAACTGTTGCATGTGACAAAAAAGCATGAACTAAGTTCATCGGAATTGGTTATTGACTTAGAAAGTAACCAGAGTTTCGAAAATAAAATTTAAAAAAAGAAAAAAGAAAAACCAACGTTTTCTTGTCACCGAATCTTGGATTCGAGTCCAATGCTTCACGAAATGGACCATAAAATGAGCTTGCATACCTGCATTTAAGTTCAGATGCATGTTACTACAACAATGAAACAATTCATTTCAATTAACCAAAGAGATGATAAACAACTTCTGAAAATTTCATCAAAGGGCAGCATCAACAAAGACTAACAACAAGTTCAAGAACTATAGCACAGACATGAGAAGCACTTGAATTATAGCACTTTCTAACCCTCTTGACAGATCACTAAAAAGAAAGGTCTAGGAGATTTGACAAGATGAAAGATATAAGACGTGCTGAAAAAAAAATATTAAAATTATGGTACAACGAAATCTAAATGTATGCATTTGCTAATTTCTCCCCTATTTTTTACATCAGTACAGGAATGCTACTAGCATGCATACATTAGATCAAGGTAGTAAGAACGAAAATTTTGAACTCCAGTTTCTAAAATAGTAAAAGCATCTTTAATTTGAACATGGCAGCAGATTCATATCATTTCTGCACCAGAGAGACATAGAATTTCTAAAAATTCTTTTCTTCGTCCAAAAAAACAAACATGCTCAATTTTTCTTTTTCGAACATGTATGAACTTAAATCACAAAAGCACATGAAGAAATTACAAATTATGTTTTGAAAGTAAAATTTACTTTGCTGTGTATGACATAATTGACACATGCTGGAAACCTTCAGCATCAAGAGCCGTTCGAATAGCTCCAACACGCCCATCCATCATATCACTAGGACTAACAACATCAGCCCCCGCCTTGGCCTACATGGAAATGAGGAATATGAGATTGTATGACTCTGTAAACAATATCCTCGAATTCAAACCAACACCAGTTTATGCTCAATGTTGCAAAAGTTTATTGATGCAACTGAAGAAGGTATTTAAGGTCACATCTTACTAAAAACTCCTGAAAATTATCAGTAAGTTTTTGGAAGACTCGGATACCTGAGCAACTGCCTGCTTACATAACTGGTGGACAGTTTCATCATTCATTATGACTCCTGCAGAACACATTAATAATTTATATCATAAGTAGTAAAGATCCAGCATCATACTAAAACTTTAAAATGGAACAAAAACAGGCCACTACACCTAGTCACCAATGCAATGAAAAGGCCATCATATTCACTATTGAACTCCACATGTTGCGTGATGAAACCTTCTTACGAACTTATACATTGCTTCACAACAACTTATACATTGCTGCTTGTGGGATCATTCTTGCGCTATTAATGGGTTTGATATTATGTGGGAGCAAAACTAAGTTTTTATAGTCAAGGGGGTCTATAGATCTGTTTTGGAGTTAGTTTAAACACTCCAAGCCAAAATGAAACCAAACCACAATTTCATCCAAAATGGAACCGCAAAACAACATTAATACTTACACCTCCAAAGTGACACCAAAAAGAAAAATTCTCAATAAGGAAACATCTTCCAAAAGCTTTGGTAAGCTCCCTATGAGCTATGACGACAAATCATTTCTGAAACTAGAAGTTATGGTGAAAGAGATAGATTTACCATCTTCCCTCACGATGCCATCATGACCATCCGAGGAATAAGGATCCAAAGCAACATCTGTGTAAATAACCTGCTCAAAAAAGTGTGTTACATAAAATGTATCATTGAAGTCCGGCAATTCATAGTGGAAGATATACAATTAAGAAAAAGGGGCTCTACATACAAGATCTGGAAACTTGTCTTTGAGTAACCGAATAGTTCTTGGCACTAGTCCATTTTCGTTGAACGCTTCATCTCCGGTTGGGGACTATAGAAATGAAAATGATTGAAAGATACTTAATATTTCATGAATAGAAATAGCACTACAAGCATAGAAATATCAAGATGGAAGATATTAGGACCTTTAAAGCATCTGGAACTTTAGGGAAGAGCACGATGCTGTTGACACCAACATCCCGGGCTTTTGAGACCTGCACAATGAAAGACTTATCAGATAACTTTCTCAGAAGGAGAAAATAATTTCAGTAAATATCGTGGGGATGATGAATAAAATCAACAACCACCACCACAACAAGAAGACTTTTTCCCACTGTGTAATGAAGAAAATATCAATAGCAAAAATCAACAAGAAAAGAAACAATATCTCATAAGGATCCTGGTACACAGTGATTGCCAGATGAGCTCTTTGCAGCTTTAGAATATCAAATAACCATGCCATGAATTCCAGAGGTGAGGGGGGAAATATAAACTTTCAAAATCCACCATTCACCTTTCAAAGACTTGAATCAATACATAAAAAGTCTACCATTCATTCTAATGTCAAAATGGCATGAAAATCTATATGTGATGAAAAGTTTGGAAAATGAACTAACCATGCCACAAATTCTGGAGGAAAAGAGGGAAATATAAACTTTCAAAGTCCACCATTCACCTTTCAAAGACTTGAATCAACATATCAAAAGTCTACCATTCATTCTAATGTCACAATGACATGAAAATCTATATGTGATGAACAGTTTGGAATACTAAAAACACAATTAATAATCGGCAATCAAAAACCCCATTTATTAACAAAAAGTATACATAAAAGAAGTCAGAGAACCATAAACTTGATCTTTCAGTAGATAAAATTCATTGTACAACATCTAAAGCAACAATAACAATGGTGTTGGGCCTCAAAAAAACAGCATAAAAACCTGAGGGACAATGTTCTGCTATTTAATTTAATGAAGAGTCACAGCAAGACTTGCATTTTAGTTTAGGAGTCCAAGACGAATCATTTTGTTGAGATTAGAGAGTTTCAGTTTACAGGTAACAGAGTAAACAACACTGGCACAAACATCAAGGTGAGAAATCAACGAGCTTATTAACCTCTTCAAGTAAACCATGTCTCCATCCGAGCCTGTAACACCCAGGCATTGCTCCGATTGGTGTGTCTTCTTCCCCTGTAGAAAAGAAGTGTGCTATTGTTAAAACCAAAGAGAGATATGGAAAAGAAATAAATTCAAGAAAAGAATCAATGATATACGACATTTAGTCCACAGCTGCCGGGAAAAAAAAAGGGGGGGAGAAGAAAGAATAAAGTTACAACCACGAACCTTCATGAATGAAAAGAGGATATACCAAGTTTGCTGGAGATAAAGTTGTTTCTTGAAAGGCAGCACGTAATGCTGGCGTTCTACGATTTCGACGTGGTCGTCGACTTAGGGGCTGAAAAAAAATACATTGATACAAGTTAGAATATTTGGAAGATAACCAAAAACTACAATTAAAAAAAAGAAAAGAAAGAAGAACGAAAAGAAACTTGTAATAAGAAGAAAAAATTACGATAAAGAGATCAGAAAGAAGTATGTAACTACATAAAGCAAATGAGCTGCCACACATTGCAGCAATAGTCAAATCAACAAATATTAGTTGGTAACAAACTTTAAGAAAAATCCTTCTTCAACCACGCACCTTTTCCAATTAAAAAAATCTTTCGCACTTATGCATTTTTTTTCTCAATGCAACTCAAACACCGATTGCTCTATGATACATAAAACGGCAGCTAAGAATCTCAGGTCTCATCTTTTCTGTCACCAGAAGGGTTCATGTTTGTGACAATTGGAATTATCAGTTACATCTGATCATAAGCATTTCATACTTCTTTAGCATTTTGATTGGTTCAAGATGGGTTATAGCCTTACGGGTTTAATAATTCTACACTAAAGAAGAATTGGATTCCATGATAGGAATACAGATAATTGATGTAATATTCTGCAAATATTGTGAATCCATGTTCCAATTCATTGACAAACTCTCGAATTGGTATATAGGATTGCAAATTGAATCTGGATGCTCAGTAACTTATCTTCAGGTCCAGATTATGCAGGAAACGTGTTGTCGGTAAGCTATGAAAAGATACTGGAAACCATCACTTCTCTATTATAACTAAATATCTTTCACACTGTTTAGTTCCAGTCCAATTATTTGGTTTACATAAATTGATTTTTTATTATTCCTTGGGTGAAGGTAAGTGTTAGTTGAGTACTCGTAAAGAATTCAATATATGATTTCCTTAGCTAATGTTGTTTCCTTGCAATTGGCGACAGATACTAGCAAATAGAGAATTCGGATTTAATTTATGATCCAAATATGCACAGCTGGAGATCTAGTAAAAGTGACCACACTAAATGTGATTAGGAAGAACCAAACCAAAATCGAAAACCAAAGTTACTTAAACCGAACCAAAACCAAAGTCTACACCAAGACTCATATATTAGGAGCTAATCTTAATTATGGGAAAATAGAAACTGCTGATAAATTGCTGGTTTGAAACTTAACAAAGAATAACTTAACCAAAGAAATTCCAACAATTTGTTTCTTCAAGGATCATCAAAGGAGTTCTTCTCCCAGATCACAGGCAGAAAAAAGGAGTTCTTCTGCCCCTTTTTGTCTGTGTCATTAGTGGATTACTTATGTGTTAAAATGGTTAAGAAATGAAGACTCAAGGCTTCAATACTCTCGCTGCTGCTCAGATTCAAAGTCAATCCGAAGTTGCAGATGTTAGCAGATGATTTTTGTGTTTATAAGTTCGGTTTTAGAATGTAGAGCAAGCGGTTGTTGTTTTAGGCACTTGTTGTGAATCTGGCCCTAGATGCATGTGTCTTGGAGGCTACACACATATTGATCTGTTTCAAAATTTGCATGTACATGTATTTTTGGGTTTCCCATACTTTCCTCCAATGTCTTATTAAAGAAACAGCTTTGAATATCTTGTTAACGAAATCGATTTGAACATTTAGCCTCAGAAGGAAAGAGTGTGAAGCAGACCCTAAAGAGAAGAAGGTGAACAAGTGGAGCAAAAATTTTCTTTTAGATTGATCTTTTAAATGGTTCATGATTCTTCAGATTCCTAGGCTTTTACTAGGCGAGACTCGGTGCTCATGGAAAAAAAAAAAAAGACACAACTTGCTTAACTTACGATCATGTTATCTCTTAATGCATATCAATTTTGTTGCGTATGAAGCAAAAACCTAACAAGATAGGCGAAAATTTTGATTGCCTGAACCAAAAGATGATGACAAAAATTCCCCAAATTCAGTAAATCACACAAAACATTCGAAATTCAAAAACCTAATACAATTGTCAAAAGTTTCTGAGAGAAGTTACCAGTGAAGTCATAACTGGGGTTCCAGACGGCGCAGCTGGTTTGGGTGGGACCGGTGGCGCCTCAGGGACGTTTCCGGCGACAACAGCAGCTTCACATTCAGCATCAGACAAACCCAATTTCTTAACGGGTCCATTAAATTGGGTTTCACTTGCTCTGATGACTACAGAATTCCTCCTACAATTTTGTTGAACTGATGAAGACGGCTTCGGACTCCACGAGTTCACCAACACCGTTTGCTTCAGACCAACATAGCCGTCAAACTTGACTGATGATGATTTAACATTACAAGGTGAGATCAAAACAATTGAAGCCGCCACCATCGTCACAATCACCAAGCTCTTTCAGAAAAAAACAAAACTTGACTGATATAGAATTATACACCAAAACAGAGCCTGCATAAACCAGAAAAAGATTCATCTTAAAAATGGGTCTCAGCTGAAACATTTAGCCTTCAAGAAGAGAAGAACTCAAGAAACGGAAGCCGAGATCTTTACCTGATTTTTTTTGCCGGCGAGAAGTCGGAGAAAATGGCGATTTAGAAGTTGGAGGTGTTATCTTATTCTTCTTATCTTCAGCAAATCAATTTCATATCAATTTTCACTATCTTTGCCATTTTGGTGATTTGACTTTTCATTGAACTCTGGTCAACTTACAGTGGCATTACCCATTTGGTGAAATCAGTTTACTTACTACTGAAAGCCTTATCGCCAGAGCTGTAATTTCTAATCCAGAGTAAATGTCCTGTCAAAAGACAACATTGCCCTTTTCAGGTGGGAAGAGAACGATCAAAGAAAAGTGTATTCCAGGTGGGAGTAAAAAGCAATCTGGAATAAATTGGAGTTATTCTTTTCTTTTTTTAAAAAAAAATAATAATAAGTGTATTATATTAAATTTACTGAAAATCATTCACCAACGATTGTTAATGAAAAAAATACAGCAAAAAAGGAAAATTAATACAGGGCCAAAATCAAAAATTTGCTAAAACCATTGTCTTGATTTTGAATTAATTTGAACAATGAAGAAATTCATAGATTACAATTCTCTTGGACTAAATTCTGAACTATGATGTATTACAACTTTCTTCAGCATAAAATCTTATAAATTCTTTTTTTTCTTTTTTTTTTTAGCATAAAAGGGTAAATTAAATACTCCTTCTGTCTCAAAATTATTGTCCAGTTTGAGATTTCACTTTTAGTACAATTTGAATTAAAAATAAAAACTCAAACTGGTCAATAATTAGGGGACGGAGGGAGCAGTGCCGGAAAAGGGACCAAATGTAAATGACAACACAACATCCATATATTCAGAAATATGGTCCTCTAATTTCAATGATTCATTGAAGCAGCAATTTTGCTCACTGAGCGAAGAATCGTCATGGTCACTAACACTTGTGCCCGGAAGGATATGCCACTTTGCTTTCACTGATGATAGAATCAAGATTCAAGGATCGTCGTCATAAGGTACCGGAGGAGCATAAGGATAATCCATTTTGACTATACATTTCCCATTATTCTGCAGTTCAGACAGCGCGGAAATGTCAGCAGGACTCCCGACGGGGGCACTTTTTGTCAAATCCAACTGTTCAAGTTTTCCTGCAAAGTAGACATAAAATCAGTGGGGCAGATCCAAATTAGAAGTGGAAGGGAAGTTGCAAATTTTGTGATACAGAAACCAGATACAGGAATTGACAGTAAATAGAGAATCTTTTTTTTTCAACAAAATCTTTTTTTTTTCCTTTGAAATTTGACATTTGTTAAGGCTTTTTAAGATTCAAAGATCCATCACAGGCACATTTTCTCGGTATACAACAAAGGAAATAGAGAATACATTCTTTGGTCATTTTCACCCTCCTACTACACTTATTATAGATGTAATCAGTTCTTCTCTACATGTCAATCAAAGTGACCTAGATTCCGGTAAAAGAAATGATTTAGAAGAGAGGAAGCTAGCAAGGGTATGGGGGCATATGATATGACAGTTCTTTCATTTTAAAAAGTATCTTTGAAACTCTACTGTGTACCTTCCATAGTTTTTAAAGTGGAGCAAAGGAGTGATACAGAATCCGGAGTCATGAAGTTATATTTTGCATCAATGGCTACAAGTTCAGGAGCACAAGAAATGAGCTTTGCAAGGAATATTGCTGTTTCACGCCCACCACGATTTTTACTGCAATGGGCACGCCAAGAAGTTAATTTCGTGCAAGCCTAAGTATAATCCATAGAGAGATGAAATATCAAAAAGAACCTTATATTGATATAGACAAGCTTTAGCTTCCCCGTTATCTCTTCTTCTGCTTCCTGAAAGCCATGGGGGTCAAGTCCAATGTCCTCAATGTCAAGGTACTGAATACCTTTGCTGAGAAATTTCCCCAGCAATGCGCCCATTTTCCTGAAGATGTCAAATTTCTTTTTTGAAAAAATGCTCACTAAAAAGTAAAACCACAGAAGTAGCAATGAATGTCACCAGGACCAGAAACTTTATATTTTTATGGACCATACCAACCTTCCCAGGTGATTTTCTCGTATAGATAGGGAACTCAGTGGCTTTCTCCAAGTTGACAGTGTCTGTAAAAGTTGATTTACCCCATCAAAAGTAAGCTCACAATTTTCCAATTTCAGATTGCGCAAATATGGTCTCTCTGACACCTCAGCAAGATAGGGAATGATACTCCTATTCAAGTTTATATGAGCGAGAATGTTGCCAAAAGATTTATGTCACTGAGAATGTGAGGGATTGAGGGTCAACTTACATGATTCCATCCTCAATAGGATTATGACTTAAATCAAGAGTCTCCAACTTGGGCATGTGAACAAGCAGATGTCTGAGACTCTCCGCATCATCTCCGTCCAGGTTATTGTTCCTAACATTAGAAAGGCAGGAAACAAAAGAATTATGTCAAGATCAAGAGTCAAAACGGTATATAAAAAAATTAGAAAAATGATACATATAGTGAAAATATAAAGTGAAATGGGATAGTGACAGAGGTGGCATATATGTTAATTACAAAAAATTTCCTTACTGGTTGGCAGTTAATAAGAGTGGGGTTGGTGATGTTAGTCTTTTCATTTATCATAGTGCGCATTTCACTATGAATTTTCACTGTCTGTATCATTGCTCACATAAAATTAAAGGAACCTCTTCAACAGAAATTTTGGATTAATTCAGATGAAATCACATATCACCCAAGACTGAAGCAATAATACAACCTAAAAAAAGAAAGAAAAATATTTTATATAACTCACTGGAAAAGATTCATTTTATGAAAATTTCTAACACACTTTTGATGTTATGAAACTATCATGCAATAGGCACCGGGCACAACACCTCACAACAGAAAATGCGAGGATGACAAAACAAACCAATAGAAGCTAACATCACTGAAAATATAATCACTTCCAAAGTTCCAAAGCAACAGACCTATAATAGAAAATGTGAAACTAAAACAAGATAACTTATTCAAAGAGCCAATTGCAGATCTCATGACCAACTGTCAAGGAGGTAATGTCAGTTTTCCAAGAGATGGCAGGTGCGCGACAGGAAAAGCATACCTAAGGTTCAGCACTCGTAGAGATTGCAACGACTTGCCGATTCTGGAAGACAACTGTTGGCTGTTCGCAGGTGGTTTAAAATGGGATAAACAACCAGAAATCTGCCATATTACAAAAACGAAAATGAGTTTTATACACTGGCAAAACATACAAAGAAAAAAAAAAGTTGAGTTTGTTTAGAAATCAGAACATACATAGTTCTCTGAAAGGTCCAAAACACCTATACTGGATGAAGCATCGAGGAGTGTATCTATAACCATTTTGACAAATTCTCTCTGGAGGCGGTCATCACATAAACCTAAAGAGACTAATGACCTACAGAAATAAAGCTCTTGAGAATTGGAGAAAGGAAAAATGGACTTGAGATGCAGTTCGATTCAAAGATAGCCATCACATAGATTATAGACCATGTGATCATGCAAACCTAGACCTTCCAAGCCAGTTATCTAATTGAGCAATCTTTTCTCCAAAAGCACGAAAATGAAGCTTCTGCAGCATAAAGATTCCTGCAGTAGATTTAAACCCCCCACCCCCTGTTCCTCCTTTCTGTCTCCCAAACAAGAAATAAAAAGAAAAAAATAGCGCCGAAGCAGTCCTTCTTGTATCCTGATATAAGTCATCCTATTAGGCATACAATCACCCAGTTCAAGAAGGACCCGTTAAGAAAAATTATGTAACTGAGTTCTTATATATACTTTTCAAGATGCTCAAAACCGCATGACTTGGAGATAAAGCACCACCAATGTTCCTGATGATAGTTCCATTACCCAATAAAACAAGCAGACATACAACAGTTCCATTCCAGATAAAGCTACAACCAGTATATATCCAAGACCAAAACAGATTAAAGAATATGAGCCAATAAGACTAGAAGAAGACCTTTGTAATCCTTTAAATGAGAAGAACACAATACAAAAAAGAAAACATATTCATCCAAACACAACCGTCTCAATCTCCCCAATCACCAAAACCCAGCTATAATCTACATCAAACTATTACGTAAATGTACATAAATCATCATAGTGACGAAGTTTCGGCTATTGACAAATGCAAATGGAATTAAAAAAATTGATAGAACAAGATAGTTAACTGACCTCCCCGAGACTAAAAAGGATGACAGACCAGCAGGTAAGGGAAAACAACCGGTTTCACCAAAGCTTGATAGCTTAATAGAGAAATGCTGCACTCCATGTACCTTAAAATCTTTAATCCACATTGAATCACAAATATGATTTATATATTCTTCCGAAAGCTTGCAATGAATAAACTCGATTGATTTTAATGTTTCACAGTTTTGCTTCAAAAGTGCGCATAATCCATCAACCTGTCAGGTAAAAGAACACGCTTGTCAACAAGATGTTGCGAGATATGAAGAAATCTAAGTTCTTTTTCATCGTCTGTCCATAGATACAAAAATATAATACAAATGCTAAACAATGGTGTAAACACTCCCCAGATGATTATTCAAATCCGTTACAACAATAAAACCACCAAGATGCCTACGCAATTAGGCAATTATATTGCCTAACAGGTGAATGGAAATAAAAACTAGCACCTTGTCATCTGGTTAAAGAACAATACTTTACAGGAAACATGCTAACATGGCTGATCATTAGCATATATGGGATTAACACTACAGATAGAAGATGTGCCGCCTACTTCAGCTGGATCACCAAAGGCAACAAATGGAAATCATACAGAGACATCAAATCTTACATGCTGTTCAGACTTTATCCACTGAATCTCTAATTTTTCCAACTTAGCATTCCTTAAGAGATCCTGCATAAAGGTTAAATCATCAGACTATATAAGAAACAAAGAGAAGTTCCAAACGAATGTATGCATTCTTAAATTGCAGAAGCTTCATTCATAGAGTGCAATATTCTAATTCCTTACATGTAAAGAATATCATTTACTTTTTCTGATGTGTGAATGAATATACAACCTCTTTGCAATGGTAACTGATTTTGGGATAAACAGAACCACAACTGAACACTTTTCATCATATAACTAAATTCCAGCCAAACACAATCATGAAAAGAATGTGTATGTGTGTGTGTTTTAGTAGGATTCCTCTTGGCGAGGTTTGAAGGTCTGGCCTCCTGATTTCAATAACGCATCTTTACCATCCCACCAAACCCTCCTACCCAATGGAAAAATGCGAGCTACAGATAGATGAACAAATGAGATGTATAATCTGATTATCCACAGTATCCACTCTGAGGTAAAAAGAAAAGCACATAATGACCAATCGAGAGTGATTCATGATAAGGTCAACATCTTAAGGATGTTGTCCAAGCTAACACAACAAATGGAGTGAAAACTGCAGACGGATCTTTCCCAAGCTGAAGACAAAGATGCTACTTCCACAGCAAATAAATTTAAACTCTGTTGAGCTATAGTTGGTCGAGCATTCTTTCCCTGTACAAAATAAAAGCCTTACACACAATCGAACAATTTCAAAATTCGTTCGCACGCACTTTCAAGGTACAGAGTCAGTTCAAAGCATATCTAATTATCAGATGGGAAACCTAATATCCCATTCACACTGCACCAGGCATGTAACTTGCTAGACGGAAATGTTACTTACACAAATTTCTGGGACGCAAAGACAAGCAGAAAGTCTCAAGCATCTGCGAAAAACACAATATGATTAAACCAAACAAAGCTTCCGCATGCAAGATTAAATAGGAGCACTAAACTTGGAAGAGGCAAAAGTACTAAACTGTTCAAATTCTTTTTTTTTTTTCCATCCATTTTGTTTTATACAGCAGCATTTATGGCACAAAGCAGGCCCTCTCTTGAGCTTCAAAGAGTTCAGGATGTGCTACCTGGTATATGATCCAAAGTGTTGGCAGTGATCAGAAAACCTTGAGTATTTAATTACTGAGTTACAAAGGTTCCTATTATTCCCAATGTATTCCAGTAGGGCATCTGCATAGACCAGAAACGTGTTTACTTCAAATAGCTTCCCTTTTTGGGACTCAATTAGATGAATATTTCAAAGAAAATGACTTCGAAACAAACCAAAGCACTCTCACCTGGAGTAGCTGTTGATCCAATAGGATCACTAAACCAAGGGAGAGAAGCTTTCTCTGCTGCTGCATCCACACAACTGGTTTCAGGTGGATGAAATAACACAAAGTAATGAGATCAATGAATGATATTATTCTCACATAAATCCCTTCACTTAAACATGAGTACCTTTGTAAATGTGACTCCCAGTACAATTGTGCCCAATCGTCAATGAATTTTTCCTTCACTTCACCATTTCCATCCAGCCAATTAGAAGGTTGACTCTCAGTACTATGGCTAGGCCAGCGTGCCTCATATAATGTCTTCCACGCCATCTCAAAGTTCGACCATCTGCAAGGCAATGTATAGGACTTCAGCAATATGCATTACCTATACATATAAAAAGCAGATAAACAAAATAATCCTTCCTTGGTTCTAACCTTTTCCGCTTTCTCTGACTGCTTGAGTTGTCACCCAGCGTACTGTATAAAGGCCTGGAAAAGAAGACCAAGATTCGTGTTTACAAATCGTACATCAGAAAATCCATACCCATTAACACGGTAACCAATAAATCAAGTTACAATTGAAGTAACCCAAAATTGAAAATATGACCAAATGCCTGAATCATCTAGCATTGTTCCAAAAGGAAACCACTTCTAAAGTAACAAATGCTTTCTTTTCATCTCTCCATGCAGTTTCTAACAGTCCCATCTACAGTATTACCAACCCAACTTACAAGTTCCATTGTAGTACAAATTAAAATCCAATTTAGCATTGATCCCGTGACAATAATTTCTCATTTGATGATGACAAAAGGTAAATTTAAGGAGCCCATTTGGCTCCCGGTCATAAAATGCATAACTTCATCTTTCACAACATACAGAAAGGTCTTAACACAAAAAGAAATGCAAAGGGCAGTATAATCTAATGCGGCCTAAATAGAGCAAATTGAAACTAACCTGCATCGCTGAAGAAGTTCTAAAGCTAAAGGAGTAAGGCGTGGCAGCAAGGAATCCATAAGCTCAGATGGAAGCTCATATAAAGCTCGAGTGAACTCATCATCAACATCCCCTATAAAACAAAAAAACAGGCATAATCAAATTAAACAACCTCTTTCCCAGAAAACAGAGTAAAAAATTTAAAAACATCGGACGAACTAAGGTGAACATGGAATCACCAGTTATAAGTTCATCGGCGATCGTGTTCAGGCATAAGCACACCAATGATGGAGCCTCCACCACCATTGTTACACTGAAATTTTTTACTCCGGAGTTATCAGAGGAGCTACTTGAAAAGTTTGGAAGGGAAAGCATATGGAAAAAATTGGCGGTTCTATCCAAAACTTTACATGAATCGTAAATTCTACCTTATTCTTTTTCGTTTAGCCAATATTACCTTAAACTATTCAACCATAAGTCGATTTTGTCCAATTTGCTATTTTTTGTCTAAATTAACGGAATTTTATTTATTTTAATTATAAAAATACCTTAATAGTTTTAAAAGTTTATAAAAATGACCCTAAAAATTTTAAAAAATTAAGAAATAGTCTCTTTTCAGTTTTTATTTAAAATTTTCTGTTTTTTATTCCTTTGTACTATTTTTCATAACTATAAAAATATACTATATGATCTTTAAAAATATATATATTTATTTTTAAAATTTAATGTAAAAATTTTTAATTACATATTTATAAGTCATGTTTGATTTGCATAAGCATATTAATTTTTTAATAATATAGTTTTACTATAATAATACAATTTTTTAATCCATTTTTTTAATCTAAAGAATAAGTTTTTTTTTAATTGGATGGCCCCAGCGAGAATCGAACCCTCGACCTCCCGGTAATAACCATCTCTCATCCTAATCCCCTAACCATTCCACCCTAAAGAATAAGATTATTTAACTAATACTAATTTTGCCCAAAAATATTAAACAATTCACATAGATTAAAAAAAATCTACTGGTATACTTTAATATATTACAATTTAATTCAACAGAATTTAGATTGTATTGTAAAACTTAAAAGGTAATCAAAACTTAAATATAAATATTCTTTAAAAGGCCAAGTACGAACAGAAAGTAAAAAAAAAATACCTATTTCATTTCTACGTTGGCCCAACACAAGAATATAGTGTCGTGGCATTTACAAAAATAGTACAAAATATTTTATAAAAAATATGTATATTTATTACTGCGAGGGTTTAACATTTTGTGATAATGTTTTGAGACATTAGTATATCTAACTTTAGCATGAAGTCTTTTCTTAAAAAATAAAAATAAAATAAAATAAAATCTACTCCAGTACTAGACTCCATCTTTTTTTTGCATAAAAAATTAGATTTCTCCAGTGAGAATCGAACCTCGAACACAGTTTTAATCATCTCATATCTTAAATCACATGGCCATCTAATTCAATCCTCTTACCTTTAGTGGACCCCGCTTAAACGTGGATAAAATCATTCTCCCGGTTAGAAATCCTTTGGTAACAATTAATCTTATATCTACTCTCATGAAACTTAACGCCCTAAACACTAGACAGTACCCTTTATTTTAATTTAATAATTTTTTTAATTAGATAATACAATATATAGTTTGTTTAGTTAATTTTCAATAAATTCAAATGTACGAATTTATATTTTTTTAATCTATGCTAAAAATGTTTTAATTTTTTGTAAAAAATTAGTTTTAGTCAAAATATCTTATTCTTTAAATTAAAAAAAGACGGATTAAAAAAATAATATCATTGTTGTGTAGCCATATTATTAAAAAAATTAATATAATTATGTAAACCAACCACGAGTTACAAAATGTATATCTATAAATTTGTACTGTAGTTTTTAAAAATAAATTATTTATTTAAAAGATCATATAATATATTTTTATGGTTATGAAAAATAGTAAAAAGAAAAATTTAAATAAAAACTGAAAAGAGACTATTTTGTAATTTTTGTAAATTTTTTGGGTCATTTTTATAAATATTTAAAACTATTAGGGTATTTTTATAATTAAAATAAATAGAATTTCATTAATTTAGACGGGAAATAGCTAATTGGACAAAATCGGCTAACGGTTGGATAGTTTAGGGTAATATTGACTAACCGAAAAAGAATAGGATATAATTGGCGATGCATGTAAAGATTTGGGTAGATCTGCCAATTTTTCCGAAAGTATATTGATATTGTTGGGCTTTTTCCCAAAAAAAAATAATTAAAATAAATGTAGACAAATTTGAATTTTTCAGAATATTAGTGGACAGAAATATATCTCCCGGATTTTCGAAATCCGAGTTCTAAATAAAATTAAGGACTCGGATTTCGTAAATCCGAGCTTATATTTATTAATAAAATAATAATTAAATAAATTTTGTTGAATAATAGTTTTTAAAAATTCTTAAATGAACAGTTCCGCCCGGATTTCTGAAATCCGAATTTAGTTAGAAAATAATAAATTGAAGCGCGAAATATTTGAACTCAAAAAGAAAAAAGAAAAAAGAAAATCACGGCGCGAAATTTTTGAATCCAAAAACCGGAAATCCGTAATCCGGTTTTACAAATTCGAATTTTAGAAATCTGGCTGCCTTTAATTTTGGCTGGTGGAAGTAGGCATATGCCATAAATTGGAGGACCAAAAAATGAATAAAATAATCCGGAATTGACCAAATCCGGATTCAGGAAATCCGAGGCCACCGTAATTCAGATTTCAAAAATCCAAGTTACTTACGGACTCGGATTTCGTAAATCCGAGTTTAACGTGCTATAAAAGAAAAAAAAAATTCAGACAGTTCTCATTCGAGAACTGAGTTGGATTTTCTGTTTTTGTAGCTCAAACAAGGGCGAATTAGAGCTTTTGATGCATTCTTGTCTCTAGATACGTGGGAATCGTTATTTGAAAAAGGTTATATTGCAAAACCATGTTATTTAGTTTAGTTTTGTGTTATTTTGATTGTTAGAATGATGTATGATAGATTAGGGTTTATGTTGGTTGGTTGTTTGGATGTTTTAGGTGTTGATTTTGAGGTTAGAGATGAGAAATCATAGTTGTTCATGAGATATTGAAGTTGATTTATAAGTATTTTAGTATTTTATAGGTTTTTTGAATTATGAATGGAGTGTGTATGGTGTATTTGTTGATTTTGTTATTAAGAAATGATTAGTTATTGATTTTTTTTTAACAGTCATCAATGGCACGTATGTGATAGAGAATGGTAGCATCAACACTTTTTCATACAAGCAAGTATGTGATAGAGAATGGTAGTATCAACACTTTTTCGAATATGCCGGATGATGGTTTGTTTGTTGAGGAAAGGTTATTATATGAGGGATTGATTAGTAAGATTTATATGACACTTGGTTGGGATTCAGCACACATGAAACTCCAACTTTCTTTGATTTTCGATAGTCACGGTGGTAGGCATGTAGTGAAGATCAAGAATGTTTCGCATGTAGAGTTCATGAACCGTGTAGATCCAATGTCATATTTGGATTTATACATAGATTTGGAAGATATCATTCAATAAGAAAGAGAAGCGAGTTTGGAAAACGTGTCATTTGATGGTTTTCCAAGGGGGGGACGTGCTAGTACTTCTCGAAACCGTGATGAAGAGGAAACACCTTTGTTTGCACAAGATGACTACCGGGAAGAGTTGGATTCCGACTACATAGCTCCAAGTGAAAGCGAAGAAGATTGTGATGTCTCCGGAGAGAGTGATTTTGAAGAAAGTGATGATGAAAGGTTGGAAAATGAGGAAAGGGATTGTAATCCATTGCCCCGACGCCATGTATATAGTAAGATCGGGAAATGGGATGCCTCATGTGTGGACAAGGATGAGTTTGCTCTTAAGATGTGAGATGAGACACCCGAAGGAATGGACATTGGTGTTTGTTTCAAATCTCAATCGGAAGCAAAGCATGCTGTGAAATTATGGAACATCCATCATAAAAGGGAATATACGGTCTCCGCGAGTAGTCCAAGGACGTGGGCTGTGCGGTGCAGAACATTTAATGTGGAAAGTGAGGATGGTGAACCACCATGTGAGTGGAAGATGCGCGTATCTTTGCAAGCTCACGGCCTTCATGAAATTGTGAGATGGCATGATGCACATAATTGCATGACTCCCGGGAATGATAATGACAATCGGTGTGTGGACGCGTCTTTGATTGCTAGACTCATTAGGAGAAAGGTTGAGGACAACGTAGATTATACGGTAGCCTTGGCACAGAAAGATGTGAAGACCTTATTGAAAGTAGATGTGCCATACAAAAGGGCATGGCACGGGAGGAGGAAAGCCATAGAAGCGGTCTATGGTGATTGGACTTCGAATTTCGAAGAACTTCCACGGTAAATATCAAGGTTTATTCGTGTATTGAAATTATTTTCGTGTTTTTTTTTACATGTATTGAAATTTTTTAACGATGACTTGTTGTTGTGTAGGTATATCACTGCGCTTAAGTTTACTAATCCTGAGACTGTAGTAGTGTGGAAATGGAAGGAGGGACAAGAAGGTTGGAACAGGGGAAATGGGACATTTAAATACGTCTTCTGGTCATTTGCACCAGTGGCTGAGACGTTTTTTGAATGTCCACCGGTCATTTGTATCGATGGAAACTTTTTGCGTGGTGGATACAAGGGTAAATTGCTTGTTGCGGTGGTCTATACCGCAAACAAGCACATTTTACCGGTTGCATTTGCGATTGTGAATGAGGAGACAGTAGAGAGTTGGACATTTTTTATGAGGAATTTGAGGTTGTGGGTTGTGTATGATAGAATCGTAAGTGTGATATCCGACCGGAATGCAGGGTTGTTGAGCGCAATGTCACAGATGGATGAATGGCGTGATTTGAGTGATGGTGGCCACTTTCTTTGCCTCCGCCACGTTCACAACAATCTTTTGTCACGATATAATAGCAAAAAGGTGAAGCGGTTATGTTGGAAGATGGGCACGACGCTTTCAAGAGTGAAATACAACCGTATGAGGGCAGAGCTTATTGAATTCAAACCTGCTGCATGGGAGTATCTTCGAGGGATTGGAGTGAGTAACTGGGCTCGATTGAAAGCCGGTCTTTGCCGTTGGGGCATAGCGACAACCAACATTTCTGAGAGTTATAATAATGCGTTGAAATGGATCTGTTTTTTACCAATTAGAGCCTTGATCGATGCAACCTTGCGCAAAACTGTTAAATTCTATAGAGAAGAACAATTGTCTGCAAGAAATTGCATGACACCGATCCCTCCTGAGTTATGGAAAAAATATGAGAAAATGAACGACAAAGCAGCCAGTTTTGAAGCCACCCCTTTTGATGGTGATGATGCTATGTGGCGTGTTGTTACTGCAACACGGCTAAGTGGCAGGGGTGGGTCTTTGCATACGGTGAACTACGATGAACATAGGTGTTCGTGCAGGAAGTGGCAAGAGTACCGGATGCCTTGTATGCACGCACTCCACGTTTGTCGGAGAAAAGGGAATCGACCTATTGATCTATACCATAGTGTGTGGCGCCTTCCAATGTGACGCAGACAATTTGATTACACGGGCTTTGTTCCGGTTCCCGATGAGGAACAATGGCCGATGGTCAATTGGAACTTCATTCCGAATTATGAGCGTCTTGTGTTGCATGCGGGACCGGGACGAAGACAAAAAAGGAGATATAGAATGCAAATGGATTACAGGGGACGTCGGAGCCGGGGGGAATGTTGGAGATGTGGACAACAAGGTCATGATACCAATTCTTGTCTGTTCTCGCACCCAGGAGTAGATAGAAGACCTGTGAATGACAGCTGGAATTGAGAGTCATTTAGTGTTTGATAAATTTATGTGAACATTGATAAATTCGGATTGTAATGTGAACATTGAATTATTCGGATTGTAAAGTGTGATGAAATATGTACTAGTTTTTCATAACATGTTTTGGGATTGTGCAAAATACTCATCATTTTAAGGTGTTCTAAAGGAATCGGATTTCCGAAATCCAAGCTCAGATTTTTTTTTGAATTTGCAAAGGACTCGGATTTCAGAAATCCGAATTGGTGAAACTCATCAGAGAGTTGCAATTTGAGGAGAAACAGGGGAGACTCGGATTTCAGAAATCCGAGCTCAGACTTTTTTTGAATTTGCAAAGGACTCGGATTTCGAAAATCCGAATTGGTGAAACCCATCTGAGAGTTGCAATTTGAGGAGAAACAGGAGAGACTCGGATTTTCGAAATCCGAGCTCAGACTTTTTTTGAATTTGCAAAGGACTCGGATTTTGGAAATCCGAATTAGTGAAATCCATCCGAGAGTTGCACTTTGAGGAGAAACAGGGAAGACTCGGATTTTCGAAATTCGAGCTCAGTTGAATTTGCAAAGGACTCGAATTTTGGAAATCCGAGTTTGACGTGACTATATATTCCTGGTCAACTCTTCCCCCTCCCATTTTTCCCTCAATTCTAAAAATTAAAAACCCTAACAACTCCCTCCTCCCACCGGCGACTCCCTTCTCCCACCGTAAACCCTCTCTCCTTCCGGTTCCATCTCTCCCACCGGCGACTCCCTCCTCCCACCGGCGACCCTCTCTCCTTCCGGTTCCATCTCTCCCACCGGCGACCCTCTCTCTCACGGGACTCCCTCTCTCCCACCGGCGACTCCCTCCTTTTGGTGTAAATTTTTCTCTCTTTATTTTTTTTTTGTCAAATATTTTTTTCTTTGTGAAATCCGAATGTGTTTTTTTTTTCTAATGTGTATTGTTGTGGTTTAGTTTATTTTGAATTGTGTTGTATTGATTAGTGAATTGTGCTGTATAGTTGTGTTGATATAGTGTTTGTGTTGGATTTGTATAGTTGTGTGAATTATGAATTGTGAATTTTGAATGTTAGTGGTGTTGATATAGTGTTTGGATTGTGTATTAGTATTATTATTTGTTGTTGTGCATTGTTGTTGTATTAGTATTATTTTCCGGCCGAATGTATAAGGTTTGGTTGTTTTGTTTATTTGGCCGAATGTATATAGTTTGGTTGTTTTGTTTATTTGGCCGAATGTATATGGTTTGGTAGTTTTATTTTTTGGCCGAATGTATATGGTTTGGTTTAGGGTTTAAGGCCGAATGTATAAGGTTTGGTTGTTTTGTTTATTTGGCCGAATGTATATGGTTTGGTTGTTTTGTTTATTTGGCCGAATGGATATGGTTTGGTAGTTTTGTTTATTTGGCCGAATGTATATAGTTTCCTAACAAGACGCAAAACACTGTCAATCTGCAGTTCTTGGCCCAGGTTGAGGATTTGGATCAGTATAGTCGATACAGTTGGGGATCGGCACTGCTGGCTGGTTTGTACTCTGGACTGTGCGAGGCATCACAGTACACCATGCACGATGCCACTGACTGTCTATATTTGCTACAGGTACGTATTAGTTTGCAATTGGTGTTTTAATTATTTTCCGCTTTTGACGTTATAATTTGAAGTTTTAACATTATTATTGCAATTTACTAGGTATGGGCGTATGAGCGGATCGAGAGAATCGCGCCACAAAGAAAAGGAGTAAATTATTTGATTAATGAGACCGCTCCATTAGCTCAGCGGTACGTATTTTCAGTTCAAAATAACGGAATGTTTATTTTTATTTGTTTCTTTATTCATTTTTTTAACTAATTCAAATGTACCCCTTTTTTCATTAAGGTGGGAATGTAGGTACACCTACGGCGACGCCCCGAGGAGTAGCACCCCACCTTTTAGAGATCAATTAACAAGCCTGCGTGTTGAAGATGTAAGTACTTGTAATTTGGTATTTATATTTACTTTGAATTTCTTTTCGTGTCGGTTATACCATCTAATGAAATTCTGTTCGTGCAGTTTCGGTGGCAACCATATGCACATGTCCTTCATAAACTCCCTGATTTCTGTACACAAGGCCAGGCCATTTGGACGACCAGATGTTGGATGTTCTGTTGGGCTATTAGGGAACCCCACGAGTCGGGCAGAGTTGTGAGACAATTTGGATACATACAGGATGTTTCCAAGCGCCCTATGATTAAAGATAACACAACATTCCTTTTCGATCACGCCCACAGTATGTCTGGGTATCCTAGCAACAATTGGGTGGACCACCATTCCGCAGTACGTCGTCATTGGAATAGGAGAGAAGAGTACGTGCTACGAGATTTGGAGGAAGGAGACCCTGGCTCTGTATATGAGGGGTACTATGAATGGTTCATGGTAAACACTGTCATTCTGATATCCAATCCCGGTAATTATGAACCTCAAAGATATGAGACTTCTTCGAGCCGAGTGAAATTATATGTGAGTTCATTCTATATTTCTTTTATTATTTCTTATGTTTTCATTTTATTTTTTTTTTCATTTTTATTTTTTTAGAATTTTACTCTCTTAATTAACCTCCCAATTTCTTTTCAGGGTGAAGTATTGAACAACATTCGCGTGAGTACCGAGAAGTTTAGAGAAAAACGAGAAGATGAGAATCTCCTAGACGAAGAACTCGACAAGCATTTGGACGATATCATCAATCAAACACATGCTGCTTTAACCCTGGACGCAAATGATGAGATGGAGGTGGAGGATACCCAAATCCTGGTTGATGAAGATCCATCTTTGCCCTCACAACTTCCGCTGGGTAAAAAAGCGAAACCATGGTCGAGAGATAAGATTGGAGGAGGAAGAAAGAGGAAGGTCCTAATCCCCCCTCGAACATCGCAACAACAAACTGAGGGTCAACAAAATGAGGATCAAGCACATTCTTCTCGAGGCTCGCGCATCCAGGTCGAGACTCATTTTAGACGTTGGCGGACCCGAGACTCAGTTTGACCTTGGTGGACCCGAGACTCAGTTTGGTGGACAGTCGCAACTACAACCGAGAGTCAAATTTCTCACCATGGGAGAGTCCCAATCCCAACCCCAACTCGAGGCTCAGTTTGGTGGACAGTCAAAACCACAACAGAGTTCAATACTCACGTATCTTAAAAGGGGAGACAGGATCCGGCAGGGCCCAAACAAATACACTCCGAATGCGCAAAATAAAGGAAAAGGGAAAAAATGAGACATTTGATGTATTTTGCACATTTAAAGTAGTTTTTGTATTGATTTTGGTATGAAACTTGATTTGTTTTGTTGTTAATCGAATGCAGTTTATTGTTTTGTTGCCATTAAATTTCTGTTTTCCAATGTTTCATTGTTGTTGGTGCTGTAAACAGGTTTAGGACTGGTGAAAACCTGTCCAATTTTTTTTTTCAGTTCTGACAAAGACTCGAATTTGCAAAATTCGAACTCAGACTTTTTGTAAAGGATTCGAATTTCGGAAATTCGAGTCTGTAGCCAACTGAGAGTTAGCATTTTTCAAAAAATAGAGGAGATTCGGATTTCGGTAATCCGAATCTGCGTATATTCGGATTACCGTGATCCGGATTTTCCCAAATTTAATTTTTTAACACATATTTTTTTTCTATCCGAAATTAATATTTTATTCGTAAATACGGATTTAGAAAATCCAAATTTAGATTAATTACACTAATTTCTGTCATTAACTTAATATCGAATTTACGTAACATAAAGTCGGATTTTTATAATCCGAGTTTATCGATGTTCGGATTTCTGAAATCCGAATTTCATCCCCATTCGGATTTCCTAAATACGGGACATATAAGCTTGTCTACAAAATTTTTGAAAGGTTTATTTTTGTCCAGGTATATATAAGGAAATATATTTAAGGAAAAAATTTGAAAAATATTGTTCGGTGCTTACATTTTTGTTTATTGGGGGTATATTTGTACGTTTGGTCCTTATACAGGTATCCTTTGTCATTTCAGGTCCTCTAATTTGGTAGTCTCAAATGATTTTCACGTGTAATATCAACCTAGTCTCAAAAGGCTAAAAAAATAAAAAATAAAAAATTGTCAAATTCTCAAGTTTTATTTTTTTATTTTTGAACATAAATTCTCAAGTTGATGACACAGTGAGTAGACTCGAGACGAATGTTTTTAAAATCTGACTTCAAGCCTTAAAATCTAGAATCTCATTGTGTACTCGAATATTAGTAGAACCGCTAGAATCTTTAAAAGCAAGGATCACTTTATATCGGTCGTCTTCTTCCCTCATTCTCTTCTTCCCTCACTTTATATCGGTCGCTAGAATCTGTAAATTAGAGGATGAATAAAGATCTCAACGTTATTGGGGAGGAGGAGATGATTGAGCATCCGAACCTGATGCGGGGGTTGAATAAAGATCTGAACTTTACTGTTGATTCTCGGCCGAACAAGGTAAAGTTTTATCGGCTTTGTTCTGTGTTGTTCTTTTCTATGTCCGAACATTAAATTGCTTTTGCCGGATTTCTGGTTCTTTCATATTTTTATGTTTTGGGTCAAAACATCTCAATTACGATGAAGTGTCCAAGCACACTGTATAGATGACCCGATTCAAGTTTGGCCAACAAGTATTTAATTAATAATGATTTTGTTGCTTGAGGTGACAAAAATTTCAGATTTTTCCCCCTCCCTGAATTGATTTTTACTTGTTTCTGTTTCAACTCGAGACCCTCAATCATAAAATTGCAATCTTTATAACTGAGCCCGTTGATATTACATTGTCAAATTGCTTTCCTGACTTAGTTTGGAATCTATGTTTACCTTGGAAGTTGTTCATTTCATTGCCTTTTGTTCTTATTCTAGAAAACATCAGCAATCTTGGAGTTGGATGCTTTTGATTTGTTGCTCTGCCACGGTGTACCTGTGTCTCTGATAAATTCCATTCCTATGTCTCGTGTTCAATTTCTTTACTTGTATTTGAATTTTTTATCCTAGGTCACAAATCATAAACTGGGTACAACTGAGCAACACGTACCTGAAGATCGGATTAGTCAGCTTCCGAATGAAATGCTTTCTTGTATCTTATCTTTTCTACATTCAAAGAAGCTGGCAGAACAAGTATTCTGTCGAAGAGATGGAAGCACGTGTGGACGTTCATTCCTGAACTTGATTTTAATGCATTAAATAAATTATGCAATTTCGCACCTGGCGAGAACTACATGGATCGAGTTTTTGAGGAAAGGCCTAAGTTTGCGAACTGGGTAAATAAGGTGTTGGGGTCCCATCAGGCAATGTTGTTGAATAAGTTTAGAATTTATTGTGATTTGGGTAATTCGTATCTGGCGGATTTGGATGAGTGGCTTCGATATGCCTTTGAACGAAGTGTCCAAAGGCTGGAGGTGAACCTGTTACCCCATGGCCCTGGTTCTTATCCCTCCACTGAGTGTTATGTTTTTCCTTCTGCCTTTGTTGCACAAAAAAGTTGGCATTCTCTTAAACTATTGATTTTGAAACATGTCTTAATTTCTGGGGGCAATCTTGAATTCTTTTTGCGCAACTGCAAATTTCTTGAAAGCGTGGTGGTGTGTGCATCTCGTGATTTACAAACTTTGAACGTTTGTGGTCCTTCGCTCACGTTGCGACACCTGGATATTGGTTTTTGTCCCTTGAAAACCCTTATTATAAGCAATGTCAATCTTATCTCTCTTAAGATTGATAGACCAAAAGCAATGACCCTTAGGAATGTCCCTCAGCTCGTTCATGTGGAGATCCGTACTATTAGTTTCGCTGTTGAGGATTTTGTTGACCGGCTTTCGTGCTGCTTTTTCAAACTGGAGGTGCTTTCTTTGTTTATGAATCCTAAGGATATTAGGGAGGTATGGCTCTTGCTCATTTGTGTTATTTATTGGAGTAAATTTTCCTGGTTTCACTGTCTGTTGACTTTTGAGTCATCTTTTATTATCTTTTTCCTTTAACCAATTTTTGTTTTGTAATCCCAGTATGAAAGGAAAATGCCTGAGCTACCTGCACTGAAGCAATTAGTTGTAGTACTTTATTTATTTAAAGAGGAGAGCATGTCTGGACTTACTTCGTTCTTTAGGGCAGCACCAAACCTAGAGAAGTTTGTAATAAAGGTAGAATGATAATATTATCATGTGACAACTTTCATTCTACTTATTCTAGTTTTAAAATTTTTTTCTGATGAATTTGTGGCACTATTGAATTGATCTGGTTGTTCATGCTGGTGTTGGTGTTGTTTCTGCAGACGAGATACCCGTTTAGAAAAATGTTAGGGACCAGCAGAAAGTCCGAGAATGTTGTACAGTACAGTGTCCAACATCTTAGAGTGGTTGAGATGCATGAATATCGCGGCCGATCAGTTGAAATTCAACTTGTCAAATACCTCCTTGAAAATGCAATGTCCCTTGAGAAGATTGTTGTTGATCCACGTTATGAATTCCTTGGACTGGGTTTTGAACCTTGGTTTATCCATTCTAACGTACGTAGTCTAGAAGCTGAGATAACAAATGATGGCAGAAGGTGTGCTGAGAAGCAACTAGGTGGAATAATCCCGTCACATGTTGCATTGCAGATACTTTAGTTAGCTTAGCTCGGCATATATGCATGAGGTCTGGTCTTAATTAGTTGTTATTTGAGCAATAAACTATGTTTTGAACAATTAGTTATTTGCTCATGTAGAACTATGTTATTTCAATTTTCAAGTCTTTATTCGGTCTTTGTTCTGTGACTGTTTTAATATCAGTGGCCTCTTTTGTTCATGCATGGAAACAGTAAGGGTCCGTTTGGTTGTTTGGATTTTGAATTGACATTGACATAAATGTCTACCACATCCATTTGGATATTACTGACATGTATGTCAAAGTCAAATTCTGAGCAACGATTTGATATGTATTTGGGTTGGAAATCCAAATCATGTGTTTGGTATGATAGACAATAATAGATATTAAGATATGAACTTCGAACACCTATCGCATTTTATCAAACACCTTCATTGCATCACCTAATAGACCCAATTGATATCCCTATTTTGTCCAAATCTAAGCAAAAAAAGAGCTCTTTCAAGCAACACCAGTCCAAATAAACACCTCAGATTGAAGCCATTGACGTGGAAAACAAAGTTTTCGTAGACCGTCGATGCAGCGGAAATTATAAATATGTACATATAAATTTTAAGAAAAAAAATCAGAAAATCATGAGAAATTAACAAGGCAGTTGCTCTTTTCACACCTTGATGCAATTCATCCCAGATGCTTTTCATCATGAAAGAAAAACACCATAGCTTAGCTCTACAAAAGAACCACCAAAGTACTTTTCAGATCTATTAAAACTCTAATCCACGGATGAAACCAAAAGGGGAAAAAAAAGAAAAGAAGAGAGAAGGAGAGGAAGAAAGGAAGAAAATTTACCGATGGAGATTGATGGTAGATGAATGGAAGATGAAGTGGAGGAACAGCAAAAAGGAGGAAGAGAAATTGGCATAAAACATCTTTTCATTGCAAATAGAGCGAAAGACAAAGAATAAAACTTAAAATATAAAAGTTGACCCGTTTTGTTATAACCCGCAAATTAACCTGCAAAGGATCCGCGGTTTACGAAATCCACAACGACGCAGACGTCCAAATCTTTACTCTGGAATTTATGGATCAAAATCCGTGTGTTTTTTTTTTCCTTGCCAAACGCCAGATTTTGATCTGGAAGCTCCAAATCCAATCCAATGCCCCAAATTCATGGAACCAAACGGACCCTAAAATGAAATGGAAGTATTTGATTACGGCACGTGTGAACACATGTTGAATTTCAATTAGTAGATTTTCAGTTTCTGAACATAGTTCGGAGCTAAATATACGGTTCAAAGGCAAATTTACCCTGAACTCTGAAGTGGTAATTAAAAGTAAGAAATGGGAAAATGGAAGAGGTTGATTTGGGCACACATGTTAAACACGAAGCGGTAATTAAAAGTAAGAAATGAAAAAATGTCAAATATGAAGTGGCAATGTTGTCAGGCTCGGCTCGGACATCGACTCGGCGAAACTTGGGCTCAAGAGTTTTAGGGGTCGATTCGGAACGACTCGGGGGTCGACTCGGATGACGTCATTATGACGTAATAAATAATATATAACTATTAAATATATTATAATAATTAAAAAGGCTTAACATTCGTGTAATTTTTTATAGTAATATCAATAATAATATCTTAGAGTATTTAATTACATTTAAAATAAATATATTAACTTAAAAATTAACACAATCTAATTATTTTTAATTAGAATTCATAAATTTACAAGATAATCAATTTTTATTACTAATAAAATGTATAATAAAATAATCAATTTTGACATATTTTAGATATGATTGCAATTTTGTATGAAATAATGGAGGTTGATATGTGAGAACCATAATAATAAGATTTTTATTTAAAAATGGTGCCTTTAATAAGTTGAAGTCAAAAGTTTAGGACTAAAATGACAAATTATTTCCTGAAGAAAAAAGTTATTGGGTCATTGAAGTATAAAAGGAAAATATTAGGACCAGGAAAGAGAAAGAAAAACACAAAAAACGAGGAGAAAAAGTAAAAAATTTGGTAAAAAAACAAAAATCAACAAACCCCGGGTCAACCCGGTTTAGCCCGTTTTCAAGTTCACTCAGGGTTTTGACCGGTTTTGACCGAGTCGAAGAAAAGGAATTTTTCTAGCCACTCGGCTCGGCATGGGGTCCGGTTCCCAGTTTAACTAGTTGAACCGACCGATCCGAACCGAGTCTAACAATACTGCGAAGCGGTATTTAAAAGTAAGAAATGGGAAAATGGAAGAGGTTGATTTGGGCACACGTATCAAACACAAAAGATCCTAAAGTGGTAATTAAAAGTAAGAAATAGGAGCATGGGGCAGTTAATATATGGGACACCCGGAGCAACCTAATTAGGGAACTCCTAGATTAGACCACACACGCCCACAACAACCCTTTTGCACCCAACTTCTTGTTAATTACAAAACTGCCACCACTTCAACTGACAAATATAAGTAGTCACAATTTTTTTAAAAAAACAAAAAATTTCACAAAACTAAACAAATCGTCAAAATCTCCCAAAATCTTCCGGCGATTTTTTACCCCTGATCTTCGGTGTAACTTCCTCCGGCGAATTTCCTCCTCTATCCTCAAGATTCCGTCCGCTGAATCTATTAGAAACATCTCCGGCCGTTACGAAGCACACTTCACACCTTCGTCCGGTGAATTTTGTACTGGAATTTTCAAAAACTCTGTTCGATGAATCTTCTGACGGTGAAAAACACAAAATCAAGCTAGCGATATCACTGTAAGTATTCTCTTTTTTCAAAATGAACGTTACTTTATTCAGATCTGGATTTTTTTTTTTTTTTTTAGGAATTAGGATTTTGAAGTTTTTTGATGTTCATTTTTAATCTAGATCTAGAGACTCACGACCGAAGGATGAGAATCAGACCAGCTAAAATTGCTATGCCAGAGACTACACCGGAGCCTAGCCCAATGTCATCATCAGACTCAAGCGTAGATAACATGTATTGTTTATCTTGAGTAAATTTTTTAGAGATTCAGATGTTTATTTCATCCTATATGCTTTGATGCTCATCCTGTATGATTTGATGCTCATCTTGACAGAAAATTGTTATGTTGTTCATCCTGTATGCTTCGACGCTCATCCTGTATGATTCGATGCTCATTTTGACAGAGAATTGTTAGGTTGTTCATCTTGTATGCTTTAAGTCTCATTCTATACGCTTTGACGCTCATCCTGTATGTTTCGATGCTCATCTTGACAGAGAAATGTTAGGTTGTTCACACTATATGCTTCGATATTCATTCTATATGCTTCAATTCTCATCTTGACAGAGAATGTGAGATTGCTCATCTTGTATGCTTTAATGTTCATTCTGTACATTTCGATATTCATCCTGTATGCTTCGATACTTATTTTGACAGAGAATGTTAGCTTGTACATCCTACATGCTTTGATACTCATCTTATATGCTTTGATGTTGATTTCTGGATATATTTTCACTACCTATTACTAAATTTTCAATGTGAAACTATTGATTTTCATCCCGTGAGAATCTTGTTCATTTGTTTCGAAGTATTGCTCATTCTATGAAATTCAGTTGTTCATTTTATAGATAGGAATGTTGTTATCCATCTTAAAAACACACACACACAACTTACACATTGACTCTTGATAGGAAATTCATTTTAGTCGGAGCAAAGCAATTAGTTCCGACAACGAATATGTAATATAGAAATTATTACAGTCCTTCGAAAGACAAAGAAATAACGAGTCCTATAATGTTGAGAAAGTTTAGTATGTAATTGCTGCGTTGGGCTCTGATCAAGTGGAGATTAGTTTGAATTTGATGCGATTTTAAAGTGTTTTCCTTCCATGTAAACTCCCCTATTTAGAACACCTTTTGGTCAGTCTGACCAAAATATAGGACAGCTTACAAGCTGTTTGGATTTCGTCCGCTGAGCCTCGGAGTTCAGCAACTTTAGTATTCCTTGATAGATCCTGCAAAAAAAAGAAGACAAATTCTAACGTATGAATAAACAGATAAAAACGTTACTGATTCAGAGATAAACAGGATCACTCCTACACACATTTCACTTACATTGAAGCCTAACACAATCGTGAAAACATGAAAAAATACAAGATGCGTGATTTGATAATCCAGTCACGCGCTCAATCCCACAAATAGTTGAAGCATCAAGGATATTCTCCAAGTTCAGCATCATCAAAGAGCTCGGATATTTCCAAGGTCGAAAGAAGAAGGATGCTATTTCCACGTCACATAAACATACTAATCAAAGGATTGCCACACAGGTAGGCAAATATAATGGTCATACACATTAGATCTGCCAGTTAATTACACCATATTGATGCATCAAAGATTAAATTGTACCTGACATATGATCCAAAGAGTTGGCAGTGATCAGAGAAGTGAGTAGTTAGTGAGTTCCTCGGATGCCTGCGGTTCTCATTGTATTCCAACAGAGCAGCTGCATGTACCAATCTGCGAATGCTTTAACATGCCTATATCTTTATAACTAGATGACTTCAAAACAAATCAAAAACATTCTCACCTCGAGCCCTGTCGATCAAGACGACCGTCATACCTAGGGAGAGAAGTTATCTCTGCTGTTGCATCCCCTGGTGATTCCCCACTGTCATAAATTATGTGATGTGGTATGCTTTTGAAGACAATAGCTTTGAACTGATAATAAAAGTTTTTGTGCAGTATTCAAACATTGGCTAAGGACCATAACAAGTGTTTTTGCTTCTGCACTTTCAAATCCAACTTGTGAAAAGTGGGCATAGAGCATGGCATATGTTTTGCAAATTCTTTTCACCCATTAGGAAAGTGATATCTTCACAAACAAAAAAAAGGGAAAAACATGGACCAATAACACCATCAATCTGACCTGCACTTGCCAATAAATACCAAATAAAAATAATTTCATATCATTAGGAGATCGTTTCATTCAATATTAACATTCGGTATATATTGTAGGAAATACCAAAGAATAGAGCCCTAAAAACCCTAAAAGCATCATTAACCTGGTTTTCCAATAATAACAATACCAGTAATGAATAAACAGATTCTGAGTTTCAGAATCATTTTATTTCATTTTTCGTCATCATTCATCCACCTTGGAATCTTTTCCTTTCCCCATACAACTACTAGGAGTAAACCCCTTCTCCAACATCTTCTCAACTTCCTCAAACTGCAGTCCTTTTGTTTCCGGGACGACGAAATAAATGCAAACCATCCCGATGAACGAGAAGCCCGCAAACAGCAAAAATGTGCCTGCTGAACCGAGTGCCTTGGTCAATGTTAAGAAAGTTTGACTGACAATAAGATTTGATGTCCAGTTAGAAACTGCTGCTAATCCTCCACCGATGCCTCTGTATCTCAATGGGTATATTTCAGAGTTGACGATCCATGGGACAGTTCCCATTCCGGGGGCATACATTATAATGTAAAGTCCCAATAAGACAACTGCCAAGAAGCCAATCTTGCTTGGACACCCTTTCTCATACCAGATTCCATTTTCAGCTTTGCATGCATTTTCAAGGGGATCAAGTTTCGCCAGACATGCTCCGGGCGAGTACTGGTAAATAAACAGTAGTTTCATAATCACAATCAAGTCGCTTGCATATTTATGATGATCCAAACTAAATAACTTTAGTAGTTTCAGCAATGATATCACAAGAAAAACAAGGAATGGGAGCTTACGCGATCAAGTCCATTAGAGCAGAAAGCACAATCTGAGTCTTTAACCTGCAAACAACTCATGCAATTCCATGATGACACATCCGGAGCTTGGGAAAAGGCACTACATGTGGAGTTGACACCAAAGTGCGCAGACCCTGCCTGGCTGACTTTTGGCGCTGTGCGAGAAGCTTCAAAAAACACACCAGATAGCACGACTAAGCATGTAATGATGCCTACCATTGAGATGAGCATCAGCCTCCGCCTTCCATACCTATCAACAAAACACATGCTCACGATCGAGCCAACTGCATTGAGACCGGACGTGATGAGTGAAAGAGCAATAGCTGTGCTCTTAGAAGCAAACCCTGCAAATTGGATGATTGTTGGACTGTAGTACATGACGGTGTTGATGCCGACAAATTGCTGAGCAACTTGAACGGTGACTCCGGCAAGTAGGCCCCTTCGGAAAACACGATAACCCCAAGCTTGTTTTACTTTGGAAAACATGCTGCCACCTCCAACAGAACCTTCTATTTCAATTTCTTCATCAATGGATGCTTTCAGGGCTTGCATTTCATCGCCAACTTCCTCAGAGGGGTAGATTTTTTCCAAGATGGACCTAGCCTCATCGATTCTACCCTATTACACGGAAAAAAGGGACATAAGAAATTACATCAAGCATGAAGCATATGAACTTGAAAACAGAAACATTATCAACTGACATAAAACTGAACAATTCAACAAAATGAAGCTAAAAATAAGAATTCGAACTTAATAGAAACCTCATAAACTGAAAAGAATTCAGCTATCCAACAGAGGGAAAAAGAAAACCATAACAGATAGGAAACTATATCAACTTGAAAACAGAAACCTGATAGACTTTATTATATGAATCAACCTATTCCACAAACAGAAATAAGAAAAAAAAATTTATAAACGTGCTGCATGGCCAACTGAAATGGATACAAAAAGGGGAAGAAAAAACAATACAACTATCCGGAAAAATAAGTGATAATAATAAAAGAAACGTGATGATTTGAAATGAAAGAGATTAGTTAGTGAATACATTTCGGTAAAGCCATCTTGGCGATTCCGGGAGGGAAAGCATCAGAACAAACTGAATGAGTGCCGGAAGTCCTGCAACACCAAGCATCCAACGCCATGTTCCTTTAACCTGGAAAACAGGACATCGAATCACAGACTTGTTAATGTCATTTGTTCATAAATTATAAGTATCACCACAAATGGCAAAAAAGGCTTACATGGGTGAAAGCTAAATTGATGAGGTATGAGATAAATTGCCCTCCAGTGATCAACAGCCCATTTGTGCTAACAAGTGCACCTCTGATTCTGTGGGGCGAAGATTCCGAAATGTATAAAGGAGAAGTCATTGATGCCATCCCGACTCCAAGACCAACCAATATTCTTCCAATAATAATCACCCATGGAGCAGGAGCAAAAGCCATCACAACTGCACCAGCAAAGAACAGCACATCAGCAGCCAAAATGGAGATTTTGCGGCCGAATCTGTCGTTGATCCATCCACCAAATGCAGCACCAACTATAGCTCCTGCAACAGCCATGCTAACAATTGTCTCCTGTAGATTGGAATTTCATTATAAATTCAGTACTCCTTTCGATGAAACTGAAGAAAAGTAATTGAAAAAGGGGAATGAAAAGGAATTTTAGAAAAGAACTTTACTTGTAACCATGTCTTCCTGTCAACTTCGTCAAAGTCATTCTGAATGTAGAGCATGGCACCAGAAATAACTCCTATTTGAATACAAAACCCCAAAAAGATCAGAAATTGACAAGCATAGAATATCAAGATATAAAAGAAGATCCAACTGTCATATCTCAATGACAGAACATAGATTCAGTTTATGTTCTTGACATTCAAAGAGCAAAAAAATGAAGGGGGTAATTTTAATTATGACCTGTGTCGTAACCAAAGAGAAGACCACCGATTCCAGCCGATAAGGCCAGCCTCATGATATAAGGTGTCTTCCATGTTGTCCTCCAACATTCAGTGAATTCAGTTTTGTCAGCTTTAGAAATTCCCCCTTCAACCATTCTGTTCTTCTATTTGGTTGAGTAAAGCGCTGTGAGGATGGAGAGTAAGAGTATATATGTGATCAGCTGTAAGTCAAAAAGAAAAGATAGACATTATTGAGAGTGAATCCGAAATTGGGAATGCATCCAAAATTGCCTAACATTGTGCAGATTTGCTTAAAGTTGCAATACATCTATCAATTTTTCCTTTTTCTTTCTTTTGGGTGGGGACGAATATTATCATTCAGAAAAGCATAACCTTCCAAAATGCAAGAAGAAGATTAACACTAAACAAGTTGGGATCAGATCAATGAATGATGGACCTCTTATGAAAATAATAGAAAATACACCATCTTTTCAGTGGAAAATAAATGAACTTGACCATCCCATGCAATAGGAAAACAGAAAGAAAAACATAAAAGAGGACACCTTTCCAGGAAAACAGTAAAATACCATAAATATTCAAAACCAAAGGAGAAAAGCAACCAGATTGACTAACAATTAGAAAAAAAAATTTCTACATGTGGTAGCATACCATGGCAGATTAATAATTTCAAATGCATAAAGAATTCCACCCAGCCCTTTAATTATACCACAAAGAAAAGTCAGAAATGAAAGAGGTAAGAATAAAACTAATAACACCATTACGTGTTGCAGCATGGAAATGAATTGTTCTGTTTGTTCACAAAGATTTATCCTCACAAAAACAAACAAAACCAAAATCAGAGTTCGCCAAACAAACAACAATGATATCCTACCAATGCTGATGAGAAAACAAATAATCCAAGGAAAAAGACACGAACTTTACACAAGACGATAAAAACCCAAAACAAAATTGTGCAGAGAGACAAAAACAAAAAGCTCAAAGACTAACCAAATCGGTTTTATATATGACCTTCCTCTTCTTCTTCTTCCCTCCTCCCCTGTCTCCAGAAGAACTGAACTAAATTTGGATATGAATGTGATGAGTTCCGACCCCTCTCTTCTGTTTATCACTACAGATTAAGATCAGATTTTTATGGATAACTTATCAGATTAATGGATAAATTATTTACACTTTTTCCCTCTCAAGAAGGGTGGCAAAAGGATGATGATAAAATTGATAATGGATTATGTAGTAAACAGAGAAGAGGGGGCAGAAACTGATCTGCAATCGGTATATATACACACAGTCACACACAACAAAACACAGAATATACCAAAAGGGCTAAAAAAAAAATAGTATATTGATTGCACTATTGTCAAGAAAAGGAATAAATGTTGAATGGATAAGCTACAACCTCGGCTTTTGAGGAATCTGATTTTTTTTTTTTTAATATAGTATATGAGTATCCAATTGCACCGAATTATTTATTGGCAGTATCATTAGTTATTACTACTATACTATAAAAAACATTTTTTTTTTCATATAATAACATTAACGTTGTTTCCTTTTTTTAAGGAAGAATTTGAAGTCTCCCGTATTTCAGTCCAAGATGAACTCTTCATTTTTCTTCTTTCTTTTTCTTTCCTCTTCTTCTGTTTCCACAAAAAACCCATAACGAAAAACAGATTTCCCTGCAAAGATGGTGGGTTCATTATTTTCATGGGTGGGGGAAGTTAGAGATAAATTATGAGGGACAGCATACCCGTGTTTACAGGTTAGCACCGTTTCTATCCGTTTTTATCATGAAGAAGGATTTGTATAAAGAAAGAAAGATTGGATTTTTAATCAAATTGAAATGGAAATAAATGATGCTGATTGTGAGAATTTGAGATAGCGATTAATCTTACAGATTATGAAAATCCAACATCATTTAATTCTGTGTTTTTTTTTCCCTTTTAAAGGAACTGAATTTATACTACCGAGGAGGCTATGAATTTGCAATTTCTCACCCGCAAGATGTGCATGGGCAATGGCATTCCAAAATCAATACTCTACTCAGTCCTTAATATAAGGAATTTTAATTTGTCCTATGTTTCATTTAATACTAGATACTTACCCCGGGCGAATGCTCGGGATACCGGCTGTATTTTTAAATCGATTAAATAAAAAAATACGAATCATTCTTAAAAGAATAAAAAAATAAAAGAATAAAAAATCGATTGAAAGGACCGAAAGTGAGTTATTATACATAAATCTATGCTCAGATTTATAATATTTAATTTACAACAGTTAACTTATGCCCGGGTTTACATAAATCATAAACCAATATCTACAACAGAAGAATAAAAAAAAATCATCCTTAAAAAATCAAATTTCTTTCATGACAGCTTATTTTGTCTATGTTGTAGAAATAGATGGATTGATAATTGATGTCAGATTTTAAATAATTGATTTAAAGGCCGGGTATGAGAGAGGAGCGGAATGTAAGAGATTCTTTGAAATTAGGGGAAGACATTATTGTGTTTCATTTGATTTAAGGGGATTTCCTTACATTTGGTTTTATTAATTAAATATTGTTGTTTTAAAAGATTAGTATATACCTATAATTAAGAGATTTTTATGTAGCTATAATTAAGGGATTTATATATTTATCTATTCCATCTTTTTTTTCCTGATTAGTTAGAGTGCCACTTGTCAAAAATGATTTTGTACTGAAAATGGCTTTTGGCGGGAAAATTTTCATTGTAATGCTGACACGTGTCCTTTTTGTTTGCTGCTTTAATTAAGTACTATAGATATATTTTTAATTGAATAAAAATTAAAAATATATTTTCGTATTTATTGTATTATGTTAATTGTTATAAAATATTTTTAAGATTACTTTTATCAATTAAAAATATGTACTATGTAAAATTTATGATTAATCAAAATATAAGGACCGAGGGAGTAGTAAATCGGCCCAAGATACGTATCTGCTGCATTACCACACAATTGGATTAAGGTGGATGAAACACATAAAAAAATTAAAACAATGTCACTTAAAAAAAATTATATCAATGTCAATAATTATCAGAATGGTGTAATCACGAAACATGATGATTACCTTTTTGAATGTACCTATCAGAACAATGACCTATCTGCTCAATTCATTTGCTATGAATTTATTTACTAGTGTACAATAGAAAGCAGCCACTGAAAATAATGTCTATGCTAAATTGAAAAAAAAAAAAAAAATAGATCCAACACAGAGCATCCCCAGTCATGGTAAATAATAAGTAAATAATTATTTTATTATATTACTAGTATTGTGCCCGTGCGTTACACGGTTGAGACGGATTTGATTCTTTGAAAGTATTTCAATAAACAGATATATTAAATTGCAAAAAAATTGAGACATCAATAACAGAGAAAGAACTTAAAAAAATAAATGATGACCGCATCATACATTCTCAAAAGTTTATTTGTAAACAACATTTATTGTTGCGCTGCAAAGTTCTCCCTTCTTATTGCAAATAATTATTTTCAAACCTTATACGGACTTTACTCTGGATAAAGCAACATAAAATTGTGCATGGGTGAAAACTGGACAACGAAGAAATAAGCCAACATGAGATAACGACTGTCATTGACTCTTATTGACCGTCATAGCAAAACATGCTATAACCAGGAATTGCCTCCGTTTTAATTTAACCGGCATCCTCTCGTCAGTCGGACTAATATCTATAGGTAGAATGAAACATTTGTGACCGATATTAGCACCAGATATAATAGTAGCCTAAATAACTCGTTCCCCCAAATTGTTGACCTGTAACATGGTACCATTACACAAGCCGCCTAGTTGATCAAGATTCTGAAGAAGCATGATCGGGACTCCGACCTTAAGTAATATCCTGTAATTTGGCATTCCTGAACACTTGCTGGCATTGAGAAATTCTTCTGTGTAAAACTTATCGTCCTCAGGATTTATTGACTTTGGTGTCTCTTCCATGCAATCAGAACTGTAATATATCATTGCTTCTCCCACTAAGTTGTGCCAGCATATGCTCAATGATTGCATCAACTTCGTCATTGGTTGGTGCCAAAATTGTCCTCTTGTCAAAGAAACCGGGAACTTTAAATTAATTTTTTTTGTCTTATCTTACTTTAAATTGTTAAAATTTATTTAAATTTTAACAAAAAATTAATAATTTAATACTAATAACTTTAGATTTCACATATTTTAATACTAATAATATATTAAATTTCTAAAATATTATCCACATATTTTCATATAGAACAGTTATTTAAATTCTAAATTTACAGATTGGTTAAGAACTTACAATCTTTCGAATTTGATTTTTTTTTTCAAAACTAACATTACCTTAGTTCTTAATTAATAAGAATATGTAATTTCCTTGATGATCTAATTAATCAAAATATTAGGGGTTATATACCAATAAATAATTATCTTGATGGGCTAGTAATATTATGCTCGTGAGGTGTATCAATTATTAAATAGTTATTGTACAAAAAAAAAAGATAGTGTTGATTGGTTGAATAATTTTTGACTAGAAAATGATGTCGTTAACTTGTGAAATGATACTTTTTCTATATTAAAACATGAAAAGTAAAATGGTATGATACTTAAACATTAAAAAATATTTTTTTTTCTCTTAGTTATATATAAAAGATCGAATCTTCACATTCTTTTTCTAAATTAAAACATGAAAATTAAAATGATAAGATACTTAAACATTCAAAAAATATTATTGTTTTCCTCTTAGCTATATACAAAAGATTGAATTTACATATTCAAAATTGCTGCTTAGAGATTTTTTTTAAGCTCCACCTGCTATTCCGCAAATAATAGTTATACTTTTTTTTTTTTTTTTTTATCAAATGTAGTAATGTATATATTTACTTTCACCAATTTACAAACACCAATTCACCAAATTAATTAACAGTCAAGTAACCTGTTTGTTGTATGAAAACCCTAGAAACTTTCTTGACATTTACCACAGAAAACTGAACCTTCCAACTAAACCTCCTGTTACAACATTTTAAATCTCATTTTCGGATACTTACTTGCTCCCCAAAACTTTGTGAAGCAAAAACGAATTCATGACCTTTAATGATCAATTTGATTTCACAATCCAGCTAACCGAAAAATACCCAAGGTTTTATGACCTTAAATTAAGCAAATCATTAGGAATGCAAAGCTACAAACCCATGAACCTATATTGCTGAATCAATTGAACTTTATTGAGGTCGCCGCTGAAAAATCCAAAATTGATAACCGAAACAAAAACAGTGAAATATAAATTGGGCCGTTCAGGTGCTGAAAAATATATACCTTCAAGGTATAAATTCATCGTACTTGTGCTGAAAAAATGAAAATAAGTAGACATGAAAACAATAAAAATTAGGCCAAAAAAAAAAAAAAGACGATTAGAAACAATATTAAAAAAAAACACACAAAGCAAAAACATCTTCCAATGGATAATGGAAATTTTATCTTTGAAATACCTCTCCTCCTCCAACTGCTACGGCCTGCGGCGGATCTAGGACATTTTTTTCCGCATGCGCTCCCCCCGACACATATGGGTTTAAAAAAAAATAATGTTCATATAGATTGGAAAGATGCCGAGGGGATATTGAATTCAAATCCTTCCTAATATGTGGCTTATATTGGTGAAATTTTCGGGGGAGTTTCTTCTTTTGTGTTGTTTTCTGAAATTTTCTTGATAAACAAAGTTGATTCTTTCTTACATGATTCTTTCAAAAGCATTGGGTTCTATTGTATCTTTTACTCTCCTAGTTTTGAAATTGCTGTTTATTTTAAATTGTATTTTTAATTCAAATGAAAAAAATCAAAATCAAAATTAGACAGTAATTTTGAGACATGAGTAATTTTTATTCTCAAGTGTATATGAATTAGTATCTAGTTATCTCAAGCAAGAACCCTTTTTTCACGAAACTAAATTGGGGATTCAAATCTATGATGAACTTGAGAAACTCTAATGAGCCTAGCAAGCCATATAAAAAAATTTTTCAAAGAGAAACAAATATTTAAATCTTTTTACAACCCCTAATAATTGATAATTTACGAATTAATGCTTCCGCCAATATTTAAATTGTCCAAATTTATGTTTTGATGGAGTCAATCGCAATCTTAATGTTATTGAAGGAATATGATTTGAGTTTATGTTATTTGGGCACATAATTTTGTAGACGAAGTCATTTTTGAAAAAAAAAAAAACTCCTAATAACTGTTCCCCTACTATTTTACAAACACACACACGAACACACACACATAAAAAACACAGACGATATATTTCCATCATGTTTGTTGATTAATTGAAAATCACGAAACAACTCCAATCTCTAGACGATACTTTCAAATTTTGAAATACAATATTACCATTGCTATTTATCATTTTTCTTTATTATCCTGTTAGCTACAAACATGGCAGGAAAACATCATTACATTTAATACACATTTATCAAGGTGAAAAGATACTAAAAATCAAAATTAAATTTTTTTAGATAAATTCTGAATCTTAAACAAAATTTAGCCATAGAAAGAAATCCAAGCAGTAGAATAAATGTTGTAAGGACTTTCGCAAATTATTTTATATTTATCTTAGTTAGTATTTCAAAAATTTACTGCTATCTT